GATGATAAAAGAAATTTATACAAAGAAAATCAATCGGATAGCTTTCTAGCCACATGACAAAATTTATTCTAGAAATTAAATCAGAGTCCAGAAGGGTAGTTTTGGCATGTTTTCCAACTTCAAAGTGTATTAAAATACTTTTCTTACTGCTATTATATCTTTTACGTTCGTCTCTATGGAAGTTACTTTATAATGAAAACAATAGGATAACGTTCTTATTAGAAGAAAATTTTATCAAAATCTGTTAAAACACCCTGAAAAACTTAACCTACATTTATTAAAATTCTATATGGCAGGATATATAGTCCATTATTAAATAATATCTTAAGGAATGAAGAAAATCTCTTAATATAACATATTTAAAAGATTATTTTATGATAATGGCAAAATAAAAAACAGCTTTCTATACACATTTTTGCTATTTGCTAATAAACCTTTTCTAAGTTCTTTTCCGACAGTAGATGGCGTAAAAGCATTGATTCTACGCATAATTCATCTTCTATAATCTTGACTAGAGAAAAAATTGGAAACAGTTGATACTCTTCTAACGAAAACAAATTACAGATTGTAAACAACTGTTAATTTGTATAAGAATTTTTCATATTTAAACAATTACGTATAGCAGATAACAAAATAATAGATGATTCAGTTATTATTATTCTTACTTTTATAAATATATGACATATATATATATATATATAAATTACAAATTAACTATAGTACAGTCTACATATACAGTATATTTATACAATGCACAATGTTTGCTTCAAATTGATAATTTACACTTTAATTAAGTTGATCTTTAAAAGAGTAGCATAAACAAAGTAGGAGAAAAGTTTTTATTTATCCGGCTAAAATTCTAAGAAAGTAAAATATTGTTGAATAAGAAAAAATGACACACAGGGAAATATTGCTATTTTGAATTCATGAAAAAGGAGAGTATAAAACTAACCTTGTGGGCCTACCTTTCAACTATTCATTGGCCAATACTGTACCTATTGTCTGTTCAGTAAAGTGTATGTGTGTGAAATTGGCATATGGAGGATTGTAGATATGTAGATACTGAATATTTTTTTCCTGAATTCATTTTTAATTGGTAATTAACGAGGAAATTAATGATTTGTTTAATAAAACGAGAAAAATCAAATTATTGCAATCGTTGAAATAAAACTAAAAGGATATTTCGTTACTAACCTCACAAATTTTTTAAAAAATTCTTTAAGTAAGTAAACAGTTTGCAAAAATAATTAAGAATCATCAGCTTATTTTTTTTAAATAAATGCTTTTTTTCTGCAAAAAGTCAATTGGTAAAACGTTCTACCCGACATTCTATTGATTGATTTCAGAAATAGTAATAACGGCAGATGCTCGCTAAACACATGTCTATTTAGGCCTAATAGTTTGCACTATAACTGTTCAAAAGATTGTATACTCTGGAATTTATATACATTTATACATGTACATTTATACATATACTGTAGATACATATATATATATATATATATATACAAGTGAAGTTCATAAGAATTTCACGTGAAGATACATCTGTATATATTCTAAATATATTACAGAAAGATAGTATGTATATTAATTTGATATTATATTATTATTTTCAATAGTCTGCAATATAATGTATAGGCTATTTCTATCTTATTAATATTTCTAACCTAATTAAAAAAGGGTTGAAAAAAATAACACTAGTAATTTATAATTGTTTAAAAAGTAACAAGGAAATCTTGTTGGAAGAAATGGAATATGACGAGTATGGAGACTGATCACACGAATTCATCATCCGATGAAGATATCTTCATTAAAACTGCTCGCTTCGGAGAAAAACGTGAAAGATTTGAAAGGAATCCGTCAATAGTTGATAACTTGTTAATTGATATTTATGAAAGGTATCTAAACTATTTTATATCTATCTGTAAAGATTCGTATTTCAGAATTAATCATATTGACATCACGTAATTATATAGTTGAAAGAGCGAAAATATCAGAATTCAACACATGTTTTTGATATGAGCTTGAGCTTACATATGTTGTTTACGTAACGATAGTCTTCTTTTTTTTTATCTAATTTTTAAGTAGACTTCCAAAAAAGAGGTTTTACTTTTTAAAAGTTCTACCACATGTTTGTTTTTGTTTCTACCTGTTCTCTCCAGCTCTCTCTCTCTCTCTCTCTCTCTCTCTCTCTCTGATTCTGTCTTACACATATACAGTCTTCACGTTACTTCTTTTTCGTTTCACCTCTTCCTTCATCTATTTCTAGTATTTCTACTTTACTATCCTCAGCAGATTACTTTCATTCATATAATGGCTTAAAAGAGAAAAAATAGAAAATTAGCTTGATATCTATTTCTCATTTCATTCTTTAATTATTTAAAAATTCTAGTTTAGGGCAAAAACATTTGATTACGAATTTCATTTTCTTTCGATATATCTAGAATGATTGGGAAACATTACCTATTAACGGAATAAATTGATATATTTCCATAGAAAATATTAATACATAGTCCATCTATTACCGATTGTATACAGTATATCAAAATCACTGTAATAATTTTCATATTTATTGTCTATCGTATGTTTTTTTTTGGGAAATTTCTAATGCATTTCTCTTTATATCCTATAGATGGCATGGGAGTCGTACTGATAGCGTAGACAGCGATACTTTCACAGAATGTTCAAGCACAGATGCAACTTCATTAGGTGGCCATTATTTAGATGATCCTAGATTAACCGGAAAAGATAAAATATGTAGAATTCAGCTTTTAAATAAAGGTAAATGAATTAATGAAAGAGACCTATAGAAGTCAAGCGCATTCTTTTCAATATTATATACATCAGATATTATTAATTTTGTAGAAACCCAACAACTACGCCAAATAATTGAAAATTTGAAAGAAGGAGTAAATACGACTTCCATTCGATTAATACGTCATCTAAAAGTTAGAGACAAATATAGGGCAAAAATTAAACGAAACTGTGACCTGGTTACAGCATGCTTACACGCAATCTCCCAAAAACGACGTAAGTACCTATATCTAAATGGCTGTTTTCAACTTTACTGTAGAAACGATATAGGCCCAAATGTAATACGTTTCCCTTGATGATATTTAGTAGGACCGATAGAGGGCGTTGACACTTGTTTAGTGTGAGATAACAAAATCCACCCACGAATACGTTCATTCATGCCTAACTTACAGTGAAAAACAGTCTGTATAAATTATTATAAAGAGACGCTTGGCAAGCAGATCTGCTGGCGTCACTTCCGGTGTAGCAGACGACTTAATATAACGCTTCCCACTCACTCTTAGGAAATGTAAAAAAAAAATTCAAATCGAATTGCTGACTGAGCTCTTCAAGTTATGTTCGGTGTGACTTTACCGAATAGAAGAGAGAACAATTGGCTGGAAAAGATCGGAGATAGAAATGTTCAACTAAATGGTAAATATATAAAAATTAAAGAAGAGATCACATTCTACATTATTAGAATATAGAATATAGAATTCTTAACAAATATTAATAAAATGAATATTCTTTTGAGATATCCTCAAAAACAGCTTATCATATAATCTTGATAAGAAATACTTTATTCAAAGATATATCTAATATATAAAATATTTGTATTGATACTGGGCAGTAAAAAATTTAATGTGTAACTTATATAATAGGCCTATTTTCTTTTGGAAGCCAGAACAATATCTTTTTGTAATAAGTACGTCTTTTCTTTATAAGTTGGAGGAATGATTAAACTTGTTGTATACTTGATTGTTTTATATATATTAATTAATAATAGTAGAATGATATGAAGGTTTAATTTTAGCATCTTTTCCTCTCTGTCTCTCTCTCTCTCTCAATAATATACTGAGAAAGGAAAAGAGGTAGACAGAGAGAGAGAGTCACGAAGGAGGGGAGGGAGGGAGGAAGAGAGATGTAGTAGGAAAAGACAAAGATAAAAAAATTCTTATCTCTTTTTTCTTTTTTCTTTCCTCTTTTCTACTTTGTTTGACAAAAAGGCAAAGAAAGAGAAAAAGGAGAATTCCCTGTGGGTATGTGATTATGTGTCTATGGAAATTAATTTATGGTAAATTAGTTAATGATGCATTTTGTTAAGAATTACTCTTCAATATAACTATTTATATATGAAAATTACGATTCTAGAAGAGAAAGATAAATAATGCCTATGACAGATTTATCCTTTTGTTTAGAAACGTATTTATCATTTTTCTTCGGCTTTGAAATATTGCAAATAGATAAATCGTGATATATTACTTATGTGAAAAATAGAGATTTTATGGAACAATCTTATATTACCATGAGGAAAGAACGTCACAGAAAAAGAGTGGGAAAAAGAAATTTTTTATTCTAAAAATACATTGCAAGCAAGAGTTGACGTCATTGCGTGCTGTAAATCGATCGGTGTTAATTAAAGTAATGACTTGAAAAATATATAAAAAAAGCGAAAAAACATACAAAATATAAAAAAAAAAATTAGGAAAAGAAGAAAAAATAGATTATTTTTTTTTTAAAAAAAGTGCAACAGAATAATGCTAACGGAAATTTTTGCTTACTCTGCAAAAAATTCATTACTTTATATACTATACTTGTTATTTTTTTTTTTTGTTGTTAGCTAAATTTATACACTTTTTACAGTTGATTTCCTTAAATAATTAATGATATATTGTATATCTAAACAAAGAAAAAGCAATTATAATAGAGTAATTGTAAATTTGTAAATTTATATTAAAATATATACAGTATGTATATAATGAATTTATAAAACATTTTATAAAGAGGGATAAACGTACTTTTTATTCTTAATACTTCAATGACAATAACGATTTTTGTCTCGTTTTCTAAATGTTATCTTTAATCATAATGTAAATTTAATACATTTAATAGTGTTTTTATTTAAAAAGTTTATTGGCCGCCAATAATTGATAAATTTAAATTGTTTTTTTGGTTATTATTTATGTATTTTATGTAAAAGTAATAAGTTTTAATTGTATTTTCTTTTTAAATAGAGAACTTCAGGGATATTTTAATATAGAATTATGGATATTCACATCGTGTACTTCAAATATTATTAATAATTAAAAAAAAGACATCTGATTATTTAAAACATCCCATTAATAAGACGTATTTGAAAGAGATTGATAGAATGGTATTGTGTGTATACGTTATAGGTCAATTCAGATGTTTTCTTCTTTTTCCTTTTTTTTTACTGTAAAGTTTTAATGGTTTTGATGGATCAATAGGAAATTCTATTTTCTTCCTTTAGTTTCCTTTTTTTTACTGACTGTTAACTCTTAATGGAAATAGAAGTTAGATGTTAACGTTAAATATCAACATGTAACGTTAATTTAAAGGTCATTGCTTATTCTTTGTACTTTACTGTCATCCCTTTAGATATACCCTATTTGTATGGTACTCATGCAGAAAATTAATTATCAAAAGTATTAACAGACTCCTTTCAATCTTCTGTAAAAAAAACCAACCCAATACTGTAAATTATTTACATAAACTGATCACTTAAATAACCGAGTTTACGTACACATCTTTTGCTTGGCGAGGAAAATTTCAAAGCTATACGTCATTTCTCCCTCAGATTTATTAGTAGCTTTAAACTGTAATTGAAAAAAAAAACATAAAAGCATTTGAAATATTTACAAACCGCATTTTTACAAGAAAGAAAGGGCTAATAAAGTCAAGGAGATTGCTTGAAAATATTTAATAATCTCTTATCCGCCTCATTCACTGTCTAAATATACGAATGTTTAATACTGGTTAAAATTAGGTATTACTATTGATAAACGAGCTAAAGTTTGGCTCATTATTGATTTAATTATAACACCGTTATAACTGTTTTTTACATCGCGATTTTTCTTAAAACAGGTATCGACACACAGCTAAAATTTACTTTAGAGCCTATACCAGGAAGCGATGACACATTTCCGCAGTGGCTCGATGCTATGCGTGGTGTATGTCGGTTACCCTGTGGAATACCAGCCGAGTTTCGGAAGAAGGTAACAAAACCTCTATTTGCAAATAAAGGAAACATTTCTTTTATTCTGTAATTGTTGTTCCCATATACTAATACAATATATCTATATATAGCATATATATATATATACACTTGTACGATTGTCAGGCTAGAACTAACAAACTAAACTAAAATTGAAATAGGAAATATTTCATATTTATTTTACAAAAGGAAAATTAAAAAGGATTTAAATTTTGAAATTGCTCGTTTATTGTTGAAAAACACTTATAACATAGTTACCATTACGTTTTATGCTGAACGAATTCTATTGTTGTTTTTTTTTGTCACAGGTTTGGCTAGCGCTGGCTGACAAGCACTTAGCAGAATTAAAATTGGATTGGGATAAGACAAAAAAATTTGCTTTTAATGAACGTTCAAATCCAGATGATAATAAATTAGGAGTACAAATTGTAAAGGTAATTTAATTTAATTCGTTTAAAAAATGAGGGAATGCAATTCTGATAATCAATAGTTTTATTTTCTCCGGTCAAAAATCCGCTGCTGTTAATAACTAGATTAGGTTTAGTTTGCTGTATGACTCATTCCGGCTGTCTTGATTGTCAATAGATGTCGATGACGTAAATAGGAAACTAGAGACGGCCAAGAGACATTGATAAATCTATACTGTAGTTATGCCGAAAACAAGTTATAGAAACGGGTGATTTGATAGAGAAGAATAGAAAGGATAGCGTCTTTTAGATTAGTCTTATAAAATATGATTGAATTGATCAGAGAAGGATATTTTACCCATAAGAATGTATTAAAGTATCAAAGTTACTATAATACTCTTGCAGTATATTATAATAAGTAGCTAAGAGCTAAGAGTAAATCGATATAGAAACGCTTAAAAACGATTTGGTGTATATCACTAAAATGTACCTAGTCAATATCTAGTACATATGAATATATTGTTGCCAATGTAAAACTATATTATAGATTTAATATATTTTTCTCTTCTGTAAATCCGATACCAATAATATAAAATGTAACTTATGACCCAGATTTTTGCGCTTTTTATTAACTTCTTTTTCCTCATTATTGATCATAAAGTATAAATATAGCTTAATATACACGTAGAATCTTTAATTAAAAATAGATCATTTATCCTTGTCAAATGGAAAAATCTTTTATCTCTTCGATTTCCTCTACTTTTTCTTATGATATTTTAATAATAAGTGGTAATTATTGTATATATTCGCTTTATACAATTTATTTATTACCTAAGAAACTCTCTTAAGAAAAATTGATTCACTTCCAACTTGCAATGTTTTTACATTAAAGTTTTATAACTGTATAGAAGCCAGTGTTTTAAAATCCCTATTTTATTTTTTTATTAAAGGACTTACATAGAACCGGATGCAGTGGGTTCAGCGGTCAAGATAATGATCATGAAAGAGCAATGCTAAAGCGGGTGTTGTTGGCTTATGCAAGATGGAATAAAAGAGTTGGTTACTGCCAGGGGTTTAATGTTTTGGCTGCGTTGATTTTAGAAGTTGTTGAAAGGAAAGAGGATGATGCCCTTAAGGTTAGCACTTACATTACAAATTTATTGGTTTAATTGTTTCACGTTTAGAGTGCAGTGTCTCCATCTGTACCAAAACACGTTCATTACTAATTCATTTAGGGCTTCATTATAGTACCCCAATTAATACATTTTTTTTTCAGATAATGATATATGTCATTGATGCAGTCCTTCCGGAAAGCTATTTTGATAACAATCTGAGGGCCTTGTCAGTGGATATGGCCGTTTTTAGAGATTTAATCAGAATGCAACTACCTCAATTATCAAAACACTTGGATACTTTACAAGCAAGAGCACGAGACGAATCAGGAGGCACAGTTTATGAGCCTCCTTTGACCAATGTTTTTACAATGCAATGGTTTCTAACAATGTTTGCCACTTGTTTGCCAAAAGAGACAGCGCTAAGGGTTTGGGATTGTATTGTTTTATATGGAAGCGAGATACTTTTGAGAACAGGCACCGCCCTCTGGGGGAAATTGCAAAAGTAAAATTTTTAAATAAGCATATTTATGAGTAATAGATATTAAATTATCCCTTTCATTTTAGTCGTATATTAGGAATTCAGAGCGCTGATGAATTCTACACTGCTATGGGCAGTATTACTACGGACACGTTGAATGGTTTAATAGTCGATGCTGATGATTTGGTTAAGGCAATATTTGATCAGGGTCCATTGCCTCTTCCTCAATTAGGAGAATTACGAGAGAAATATACTTTTAATATAACGCCATTTACAGCATTGGCGACTGGAAAGAAGAAAGGTAAAAATGCGAGACATAGCGACGATGAGGAAATAGACGAAGAAGATATCGCTGAACAAATCGGCTGTTTTTCTGGTATGTTTCCAGTTTCGCATGGACAAGTTCTGGCTAAGCATAGACCTTTAAATGATGCTCAAGCTGACGTCTCTAAGGCAAGTCCAGGAGCATTTGCAGTAGAGAAATTACCACAACATCAAGCTAACATTGTTATGGAGAGGACAACGCTGGACGTAACCTTACTTCAAAAACAATACAAGAAGTTCGCCGAGAGACAAAAACAAGCGAATGTTATTATGATGGAAGGTAGGAATTAAATAACAAATTCTGACATAACTATATATTTATTATCATGATAATTTTATAGCTGCATCTGCAAGTCTTGCCTCCAAGGGCAGAACAAAAGCTCAGAAAGTATTAAATGTTGAATCTCCTATTGCCATGAATCATTTGCTCATTGGTCATAAATCATCGGCCATTAGAAATAAGAATAAAGCAGTCGCTATAGCGCCAAAAATTGCTGAATTTAAATCTACTCTGCCTCAGCCAAAAAGACGAAACTCATCTTCTACAAGTGAAAAAAGCAAAAATCCTAATAGTCCTACAAAGGTTGAAATATCAAGACAAAATTCGGCTGATCCAGAAGAATATGTTACAAAACTAACTTATGAAACTGCCAAAAAGTCTCATACTAGTGCAGATAATTCCAAATCTCAAAAAAGTAACTTTTCACCGTTTCAAAGTAAAATTAACAATCGGGTGGCTAAAAATGGCATTAAGTTAGGTTTATATTCCCCCGATTTTATGTACGTGATAGATGATCATCACAAGGACGTTCAAAATGGTGATGGCGTTAAAAATATAACAAGGGCACAAATTAATGCCTGTCTGAATAGGCAATATCAAGCTGGCTTGAAAGGACAAAAATGTGCTAGTCCAATATAATGACGTCTAATTGATTTAGTATAAGTATATTACAGCTCCTATAAAACAGTTTATCTATATGTATACATTTGCTCCAGGATACATAAAACAAATTATATATGATTAATGTATCGTTGTTTAAGTTGAAACCTGTACAAACTTTTAAAAATGGGCTAAAAGAAATAAAGGAATAAAAATATAAATAATAAATAAAAGCCTATAAACGTTGTACAAGTAACAACCACTTAATATTTATGAAAATATGTTAAAGGTAATAAAAAAAAAACCAGTTTTAAATAAAAAATAATAAACATGTTTGAACCAAATTCCGTTCTATTTGGAAGAAAAAGTGCATATTTTAAAATAATAATAGCAAATCATCTCCTTATAAAAGAACATCTATTTTTATAATGAAAAATAAACTTTTAAGAGGATTATTTAATAATTACATTAGTTTATCTTTATAAAAAAGATACTTTGTTGCTTTTGAATTATTAAATCAATGTAAGGAGTATTTTTTATTCAAAAGTTTTAAAGATTATTCAAATTTACTCTAAATACATTTTAAATGCATGACTAAACTAATAGATATTTTTTTTATTATCTCAAATCTGAATAAGCAAATTTTTTCTAGGTTTCTAATTTCTTAAAATTACAAAAATGGGGTCAAACTCGTGTATTTTATTGATAATTACGGTTTGTTTAAATTGCCTTTTATATAGTTTGTATTAGTATGTTATAAATTTTAAATTTCCTCTAAGATTTAGAATGACTAAATAATGTTTTAAATGATTTAAAACATGTAAATTCATTCACAAGTGTTAATCTAATAGATTTTAATATCATTAGTTCGTTTTTTATCAATTGGTACTAATATAATATTCATACTCTCATAATTAATTATTTTTAAAAAATAACTGTATTATTTTTTCTGTTACGTAGAAATTTTTTTATAGATAAACTCTGATTATATTTAATTGGAAAATATTCATTTAAAGATAATATATACTATTCAATTCATCGTTACTTAAACAACACTGAATTATAGGTCTACAAGTAAATTAATTTAGTGGCCATAACTAATATGCAGCAGTTGGTAGTTTGGTATAACACAGTAACATATGCCGCTTTGTAAATACATTTTTACAAAATGCATATAGACGTATGTCGAATGTAAAAATACACGCTTAGTCTGCTGGAGTTCGCCAGAGGGGCAAGGACACTTTTGAAAACTTGTAAACATATTGCTCTATAGGTAGTTTTTTCTTTCATTTCTTACTATTATTGAATGTAAGTGTTATATAAATGTTTAAAGATATATAGAACCTTTTGGCAAATTTCACAATAAGTTGACAACACATGAATACTGTTATATATGGATATATGTCTTATTTTTCTCCATTTTAACATTTACAGACGGAGAAGATTTATACTATTTCAAAGTTTTTGAACACAATTTCTCAAAGAAGCAGGAAATACTCTTTCTTATTTTAATGTTGCCATATTTGAGCTTACATAAAAGGCTACCTAAAGATACAGAAAAATTGAGAAACAACGATATTGCACAGTTAAAAAAGGATTATAGAAGATACACACAGGACAAGAAGCATTCCCATACTATTCTTGTTGATGGTTTGTTTTCCATTACAGCATATTTAATAGTAATACTATAAAATACTCTTAAACATAGTTCCAACTCCGATTCAACCAATTAAGGAAACAAGAATACTCCAACCATCCTTCACAACATCACCTACAATTGAGTCAGTTTCTCAACATAATATGAGAGGTCGTTATGCAAAAAAATCACTAAGGGCTAGATCAACATCAGAACTATCTGATGCATTTAATTTTCATGAATCAGTAATAGAAAACAAGGCTAACCGTAGTTTTGATACAATGTCTACTACCGACGAGATGGAAAAGGAATTTTTTTCTAAAACTACTTTAGTCACTAAAAGAAATTCTCTGCCAATTTCTAATAATAATAAACTGATTGAAAATCGAAAAGTAAAATCTTTGGATGACAATACTACTTCGCAAATAAATATTAGAGATCGCACAAGAAGAAGAAATTTTCAACCCTTCCCTCAGAAAAGTTTAAATGCTGATGTCTTAAGAAACGGTATTAAACTGGGTTTGTATAGATCAGACATACTAACATCAGCTACTAAAGGAATGAATCATTGAATTGATCGATATTTAAGTATAAACAGATTGGGGTAAGCGTTCACTATTGCATACTTCAAAAAGAAACCTACATCAGCTTAACAGACTTGAAATCAATAGAAATATATAAATAAAAGTAGATCTATTTGTGAAAAATTACCCCTATTGAAAACAAAATGAAGATATTGATAGAATAAGAGAAAATTTTCGTTTTGTCATTTTTCTAAATACCGGTTTATTCTTCCTTTTTGCTATGTAGTTATATATATATATATATATATATATATATATATATATATGTATAAAATATTTATACAGTATATATAACTGATTTTTCGGGTGTTATTTATTACGTATTTTATATTTGATAATAAAAGAAAGCGCTTGTTTTATATAGTTAAAGATATAAATGTGAGATTTTTATACATTCTTTTCATTTCATATTTTTTAAATTATAATAAATACAATAATGTAAAAAAATGAGGATAAAGTTTTTCTGTTATTCGATAATATCACATGATATTTTCTATCCCAAATTTTTATAGAATTCGACACACTGCACCCGCAGATTTACAGTATTTTTTTTATAGATAACTCTAATAACTGACAATACAAAAAAGGGATATTATATTATAATATACATCATGTATACTAATATACTGTATATACTAATGTATGTATAGTATATAAATTATACTTGAGGTAAAAACAAAACACATTTTCTTTCTATTATTACTACTACTATTGTATTTATTGAATAAAAATAAAGAAGGGTATTAATTAAGAACTAAATATAGTGAAAAATAGTGTTCGTTTAAGAATAATTACTTTCATTGTTAAGGTTAATTAGACAGTAAAGTGTGAAATTATTGTTAATAATAGAATAGGTGATAGAAAATAAGCTCTTTTTTGAGAGGGAATATTTAGGGAAATTACTTGATTTTCTTATAATCATATCAATTACTGATAGTTAGATTCTATCGACCAATTTATCTAAATCAATTATTTCTGGAGCGATTGCTTTTCTTTGTCTTATTTCCTTGCATAATTCGTCCATTTTTGATCCTTTTTCGAAGGGATCCGAGTCAATCATTTCCCAATGATCAAAAGAACATTGTTCAAAAGCCTGACCGTGTGTTGCGGATCTCAATGCTGTGTTAAAGCCTGCAAAAGTGTAAAAATTTCTATAATTTCTCTTATATTTTATTCAAGTCAGAAACGTACCGAAACTTTGATTAACTGGCAAATATCCTTTTAGAATGTAGATGCCATTGTGTAGATTCTCATCGTAGATCGAGCCCTTCTTTTGACTGAAGAGACTGTACACGGAATTTACAGATGTTTGTGGACAAGTGACTTGCACGGAATAAATTGGCTCAAAAATTCTTGGTTTTGCAACATACATTGCCCCAAGAAAAGCTCTTCTTGCTGCAGGTAGGATTTGTCCTCCTTTTCTGCATTGAGGATCGCAATGAACCAGAGCGTCTACTATGTTAAATCTGATTCCTCTTAATCTTTCCTCGGCAAGCAATCCCTGGGACGTTACCCATTGGAAAGCTGCCATGATCATATCTTTTATGCCGTCGAGTCCTTGAACAGCTTTTGTACAATCTACAAGAATGTTTGGTCCTGTGTTATCTGGTCCAAAACACCAGATTTTCTTGGCTTCGTCTCTCTTCCAGCCATGCTTTTCAGCCAACAATCTAACTCTCTCTTTGGGCTCCTGGATGGCTGTTATCTCTCCTTTTTCTATATCCAAGCAGAGTTCTTCTCCTAAAGGTTCAGCCGTAACAAATAATCTATTCAATTTGTTCGTTGATTTCGCCAAAGCAACCTTTGTGCTAGTGCCATCTACAGTCTCGCAATAGGTAACAATTGGTTTGGATTTCTTTATTGGTACCTTTGCGAACTCATTTTCCAAATCATTAAGGCAAACTTCCAAATGTAATTCTCCCGCTGCTGCTATGATGTGTTCTCCTTCTTCTGATCTCACTTGAACCATTGGATCAGATTGATGTAGTCTTCTCAATCCTTCGATTAGAGCCGGTAAATCGGCGCAGTTTTGTACACTGACGGCGGAACGTACAACAGGACTTACAGAAAAATTGAGAAGTTTCATGTTGCATGCGGTCTCAAAGGACGTTAAGCAAGCAGTCTTGGAAATGAATTTATCAATTCCATAAATGGCGCATACATTTCCACAACTGACTTTGCTAACAGATAAAATTCGTCCAACTTGCATTAAAGCTACTCTTACTGCACTTTTCACAGGCACTCTAGTTGCATTATCATCATTTGGTCCCATAATTCTGATCATTTGACCTGCATTTAGTGTTCCCGAAAATACACGACCAAAAGCAAAAAATCGCTTGCCATCAGAAGTTGGTATCATTTTTGTTACGTACATCATTAGATGACTATGAGGATCACAATTTCTCATGGCGCATGCTACTACATCATCAGAAGGTCCCTCGTATAATTTATCAGTTCTGTAGCGTTGGGCTACTATGGGTGACGGCAGATGTAAGGCAATCATTCTAACCATTGCCTCTCCGGCGTTCATCCATTTTTTCATGATGTATTTGCAGGCGTCTTTTGACGTCTCCAACTTTTTCCATGGTACAGCAACGTTCAATATACTTCCTAGTTTATCAACATCTTCTTGAGACTTTTCGAAAGCTCCGAGAAGCTTGAAAACAGGTTCAAGAGCGTACTTGTTGAATCCTCTAACAGTATCATTAGATCGTGAAGAAGTCCACTTTTTCGTTTTAAGATTAAGAAAGTTTTCATTCCACATTTTCTTCAATAATGATTTTGGATTGACACCCTCAACTTTCTTGGCGTAGAAATCAGCTAATTGAGGCAATGTGAAAGCCCATCCGTGTAAACCGCTTCCAAAGGCTACGTTACCCTTAACAGGATCGAGCTGATAAATTCATAGTTATATCATTTATTAGCTATAAAAAAAACAAACTAATAGTTTACTAACCAGCCATTTTTCTGATAAATCACTTGCGTAAGTTGATACTATTGAATTAACCTCATCCAAAATCGATCGAAGATGAACATAAATACTTTCCGGGTCCATTTGTTTTTCCAAAACACATCTGTCCAATTTGTTCATGATCAAAACAGGCGCTACGCTTTCGGCAAGCGCTTGTCTTAAAACCGTTTCCGTTTGCACGCATACCCCTGATACGCAGTCGACCACAACCAAGGCCCCGTCAGATACCCTCAGAGCAGCGGTTACTTCCGACGAAAAGTCGACGTGGCCTGGTGAGTCGATGAGATTTGTAAGGATCGTTGGCTCGCCACATTCCTTGGCAACCGATTCTTCCAATTCATACACAACAGATGCAGCCCTATAATATGTTTATCAGTAACTAACGAATATTTGCATAGGGACATAGGGCTTTTTACTTACGTCGATTTTATTGTGATTCCCCTTAGCTGTTCGTCCTCTCTTGTATCAGTTTGGCATTTAGTGCCAGCCTTATCCTCAGACAACAAATTTCCTCTAGTTAAGAGAGAATCGGTTAAAGTTGTCTTTCCATGATCAACATGAGCAATAACTGCAAGATTACGAACGGCAGCTCGCCTCTCCATGAGCTTCTCAAGGTTTTCAGGGAGATACACAGACTATATAAAAGAAAATAAATACTGTACATAAGACAATAAATGAAAACGTTTATTTAATATACCATATTCGTCGAAAGTAAACGCTAACTCCTCGGGTTAAATTAGAAGAACTTGGTTGTGGTAAAAGCGATATTGCCTCTACCACTTTTTTGTCATAGCACTGTACTAGAATAAAGTCTAAGGGAAACCTTACGCTTTATATACAAATACCATTGCACAACATTTAAATTAGGTCTATGAATTTACAAGGGATTGTGCAATCTAGCTATATATTTTCGTACCGCCATCTAGCGGTAATTATTGATTCTTCTATCTCCAACAAAGATCGATAGTTAAACAAACACAATATTTTAGCTAATGAACATACCTGAATAAATTGATATACAAAGTTATTAATAATTGCATGAAATAATATAAAAATCGTGAATAATTCAAAATCTTTAGCACTTTACAACAAGAAAACCGTCCCGAATTCAACAGTAATAACTAAGGGAAGAACAGACTAAAATATATAAAGATAGAGAGTAATTGTTTATATTCTCATAACATTAAAACAGCGTCTTCCATATTTGTATTATTACAAATTGATAAACCTGTATAAAAATAGGTCGTAGAAAAAATATAGAATATTATATGAACTACACGAACATATTTTACAATATAGTTTCTCTGTTAGCTTTTACTTTTCTTATTTATTTATGATAAAACTAACTAAACTATTAAATATCCTTGGATTTTATATAATTACTTTTATTCTAGAAAATGCTATTTATCTTCTTTAATACTGTATTTTTATAACACAAGTTAATTAGAATTAATCAAAGATTGTTTTAATAGGTTTAGAGGATTTCTTTACTAATAGCCATTATTCATTTCTGCCTGCTTTTTCGCATAATTTCATGGAGTTTTGCTTATAGGCGTAATAGACAAACTACTTGGTGAAAGCTCTGATAGAGTGGTACAGAGTTCTCACTCACAGATAGGAATAGGGATCGATGTGTAGTGATCAAAACAAAATGTCGTCGATCTATAGAAACTGTCTAAGAATTGCCTTATTTACTCTTCTATTAATTGTTATTTTTGGTAAGTTGGTTATAATGTCAAGTATATTATTGTTATAGAATAAAAGTGACAAAGATAAAGTTAGTAATCAAGCATAGGCGGGTGGCGTTTCATTAGAATTAGCATATTCTGTTTGCCAACTTGGCCTATGAAATGTCAATGTACTAGCTTGCTATACAAACGTATATAAAATAGTTATTTTTCCTGGCTGGATTAGAAAAATATAGCGAATGTTCGAGATCAAGATTCTCAAGTTTCAGTAGGACGAGATATTCAGGCTCCAGATCATCCAGTACAGGGTATAGAAATTCAAGATTCGGTAATAAAAGGTATGGAACAAGGTATATGACAAGATATGGAAATTCAAGATTCACTAGAACAAGATATGGGATAAGGAATTCAAATTCTAGGAGTATTGGAAATTGGGACCATGGTACAAGATATAGTAATATTACTGCTATAGCTCGAGACAGAAAGAGCATGCGTTGTATTTGATATTGTTAATTTTCTTTTCAATTGATTGTCTTGACTAATGTTCGATCTATATCTGTGAAATCCTTGCTTTATTTGCAAAAGACATTGTTCAAATTACTTACTTCATGTATTATTATTTAATATTTTCAGATTTAGCTGATGGTCGAAGAGGGGGTGGAGCAAGATTCGGATCACGATTTAGATCTCGATACAGTTCTACAAGAATTAGACAGCGATATGGTACAAGAGTTCGAGTTAGACATGGATACAGTAGATTCGGAGTCGGAGGATCGAATTTTCAATCTGCTATGACGGCAGGTTTGATTTTTGGATTAATGAGCAATTATCAAAGAAGAAGATATTATAGAAGGAGCAGAAGTAAGTTATTTTTTCCATGGTTACACTTTTCCGAATTATAATATAAATGATAATAATTCTATATGGAATTTAATGTTTTTAAATATTCTGAATATGAATGCTTCTAATTGATTTCTAAAAAACGCAGATCCTACTGTGTGTCGAGGTCAACCTAGTATAAGACCTACGAATTCAACGAAAATACAGTATTTTATTTGTCCTGAGGAAAATATGCCCGATAGTTTGAGATATTGTTGTGGAGCCTCTCTTTCTGAACATTGCTGCGATGATTCAAGGTAATATGGTTTGTTTAAAAAATTTTATTTTATCTAATAACATAGTTTTTTGAAACTAGTGGTTCAAGCGGTTCTAAAGCAGGTATGATGATTGGAATTATTGGTGCAATTGCCTGTGGATTATGTATAATATCAACTGTAATATTCGTCTGCAAGAAAAAAGCTGCTCAACCAGGAGCTATTATTCTTAAGCCAAGTATGAAAAGATTCTATTCATTAATTTTAAATTAGTAATTGAATAGATTATAATATTATTTTTTTTAAATTTCAATTATTTAGGTCATTCTAAGGGTGATAAATCAAATACCGAAGCCGCAGTAATTTATCAATGTAGGAAAATATAATGTAAATTGCAGTCAAATGAAACAGGAACATAAATTTCTTTAGTGTTTAATACTAATTACTGAATGTCCAGAGCTAAATTTTATTTTATGTAAACAGTTTTTCACTATGATAAACTGATTCCAAGTGGACAAAGCGTAAAATCAGAAATGTCTATCTCACTTGAAATCGGAACTTAGCAATTATGAAAGGGAAGACTAAACTTAAACACATTGTTCAACAGCTGTAAAAAAATTGAAAATGAATTTTTAAGAAGAGGAGGAGTATAGTGTATTGTCTTCTATTTGCAATCTATCTATACTAATTAATAGAGCGATTAGGAGACAATTTATTCCTATTCCAAAATCATAATTAAATAATTAATTGTTAACAATTTTCTTTTATAAGGGCGACGTGATTATTTTTACAGCTATAACATTAGCTTTTAATATATGACTCAAAGTTGATAGAAAGTAAGATATTGAAAAGCTTAGTTATTGGAGAGAGGGGCGCAATAAGAAAGATTTTACTTATCTCAAAAACTAAGATAAAAGATTGGACTCTATTAAATGCTGCTTATGCTAATAAGCAAATATTTAAAAAATATATCCCCTATCTTTATTAAACAGTCATGGACGATTTTTAATTCAAAAAAATTTAACTCTTAGAGACTATTACTAGCATTAAAAATTTGAATATTTAAATATTTTTTGACAACGGTATTCCTTTCTTCATTTGATTAGCACTTGTTATTTATTTAATATCATCATTTAATGCTTTATAATTTTTTCCAAATTCTAAACATTCTCTTCCCTGAAAATTCTTTTTAATGATTTCTGTTTTTAATTCTTTTACTTTTTATCAGCTGCATTATTTATTTCAACAATTTCAACGCTAAGTTCTCTTTTTTTAAATAGCTACTGAAACTCAGCCTACAGTTCCTAATTATCCCGCTCCCACAAGCTATCAAGAACAAGCACCAATGGGTAATTAATTTGTTTTCATTCTATTCTTTGTTATTCTCGGCAAGGTACTCAAATAATACTAGCTTCAATAAGATTATAAAGGAGATAGCTCTTATCAGAGCTTACAATACTTCTCTTTTATATATATAAAGTATTTCTCTTCGGATTACAATTGAGATATATTGAAATGTGTTCTTATATTATTCGAGTTATAATTGATAACCATTAATACGACACTGATTCATACTTTATGTTACATTTATAAAAGGTTATCAATCGTACGTAGGACAAAATCCGTATCCTCCACCAGGTAATTTCTTTGGCTTTGTTTTTAAAGACTGAATGCCTCTATAAGTAACTGGAAAAATGCATGCATTACCAAACAATTGTGGTATATATCTGAATGACTATTTTAGTGTTCAGTCAACAAACTATAGCTTGATAAATAGTGGAGATAATCAAAATATTTATCTAGCTGCTTTTTAGACATTTGAATATTATTTTGAAATATAGTCATAATCAGCATGAATAGTTGTTTATTCTAAATGTTTCCTTTGGTATTCATGTGAATATAATATCAACCAAATCATATATATATACAGTATATAAATACAGTTTATATTATTTCTAAAAAGATCCTAAAGACGTTCCAGCATACCCAGCAGCACAGTATCCTCCAATGCCACAAGCGCACCCGGTCGCAATGCCTCCGCCAGGTAGGAAATTTTTAGAATATATACGTAAAAATGGATAATTGTTTTTATTGTTAATTTCTATTCAGCGCCATATCCTACTGCACCTAACCCTGACGCACCTCCATATCCTGGAGCAGGGATGCCAACTATGCCGCCATACCCTGGTACGTATATAGATTTATATGAAATGTATATAAATGTATATTGTATTTTACACAATGATATAAGTTAAAACATAATGTGTTTTATTTTGAATTTTTTAGTATCAAATCAGCCTCCTCCGTATTCACAGTAGCTATATGACATTTGAAGAAAAAACTTATAATATGTCTTTGTGAAATATCCAAAGTAACCTGCGGATTCACTTACTCTATGTATAATAAAGGTTTATTAAATGACGTTTTATGCCATACCATAGAATTACATATTATCCTCTGACTTAATCACCTAGAAGGTATAACTTTTTCATAATTCTGTTCTACGATCTTCAGTTTTCTGATCTATCTGATAACTATGTTATTATCTTGTAAATGCTATGTCAACAATCTTTATGTTTTATTTTACAAATTATTTTCCATTTAAATAAAGATATCATATATGAAATATACTCAGTTAATATTATTGGCCTAGATAAGAACAATCTTGCTCACACTTTTCCCCGAAAGTACACGATCTTATTTGTGCAAACCTGCAAGAAACAATCATGTTTTCTCGTTCTGTAAAAGATAGAAATATCTATGAAATAAGGACTAAGAATCATGGAATATTTCTAACAAAAATTGAGAATGTCGATGAACAATATCAACGTTCTAATACCGGCGACTGGTGCTTGAAAGTTTCTAAAAACGGAATCGAATGGTTCACAGTACGAACTGTTTTCGATCGTGTGCTAGAACGATGCTATGTAGAGAGTTGTGGATTCAGTTGTCCCAGAGCCCATTCATCTATCGAACTGACTCTGTGGAAAATAGATGAAAATGATGAAGTATTTTGCTTAAAATATCTTAAAAAACAGTTATTAGATTGTCTGGAACAATCAGACACAGACGACTATTTTTCCTCTGCTGTACAGTCATTAACTTCAGATAGTGGGGAACTTGTAGACGTTTTAAGAGATGCTCTTTGGTAATTATAGATTTAATTTGAAGCTTTAGTAATTTTTCTGTAATTTATATTTAGGGAACAATATGAACGCGGAAATGGTATGGTAAAGATTAAAATAAGTGACAAAGAGATATTTTCCCAAGTTTCATGTGATTATTGTACCAATGTATACAACGCTATCATTTGTAAACTAGACTTCAGCCATAAATGCTATAAAACTTACTTACTTTTAAGTTTAAATGCTAAAGATTGGTATTCCATAAATAGAACAGAGCAATTTCAAGATGGCAGCCAAATTTCTATTCTTTGGAGATATATATCTACAATTAATTGTTCTATTACAGATCTGAAACGAGTTGTTGAGGAATGTATCTATAATTTTTTTCAAAGGGAGCAAGAGATGTTAACCGAGAAATCAAAAAAAAGCCTAGAACATAGTCTTATTACTGATGGCTCTCCAATTTTAATAGAGGGCCCAATTTATAAGCCAAAATGTCAATCTGCCCTAATTTTAGATGATACTGAAAACAACTTAAATTATACAACAGGGAATTCTTCGATAGATTCACAACAAAACAAGAATGAAGCTCTTAATAACAAATCTCAAATTTCAACAGAAGCTGTTGTTGGTGCTGTAAATCACTCCACAACCCTCACTACAAGTGATTCTGCAACCGATTCAAGTCAAAAGAAGAAAAGGGCAAGAAATAGAAAGCCTAAATCTGGAGCTACAAACAAAAAAATTGAACGAAAATTAAGCAGTGTTAAAATAGATCAAAAGCCAATGATAACGATTGACAAAAGAAATTATTATATTAATCTTTCCTGCGAAGAATGTTTAAAGCTAGTTGATAGAGATGGTTTAAAATTTTTCAACTTTGATGAAGAAATGAAGCATAACTGCAAGAAGAATATTCTGATAGCTTCTACAGAAAATTTTCCAAATGCTTGGTATAAAATAAGCTACAAAGGACCTTCTATTTATATCAAAAACTGTCCATTAGCGTTGTTATGTCAAAAGAAAAACTGTAATAAAGCTCATTCTACGATTGAGCATATCTTTAACTTGGCCGAAATAAAGGCAAATGATTTAAAATCTTCATTCCCTATCATTCCAAAGTCTTTGAGAAAAAAGTTGCAAACTGATAAAGTAGCTGTTGTTAAAGATTCACAAACGTTATCTGCCAGTAACATAATTTCAAGTTTGAAGCTTATTTGTGAAAAATGTTGGATAAACGAAAAGTGTATTTGTGAACCTAAAAATAGGTATATATATATTTTAATATTCAATTTTAAAAGGCCTATTAAAATAATTTTTATATATATTTTATTTTTCAAAAAGAGCTAAAAACTGTGTTGAAAAAATGAAAAATAGCGCAAACTTATCTACAATCGCCATTATGCTCCCTAATAAGATAATTATTAGAAATCCAAATTTTAGTGATTTAACCCAAAAAGCCAATTCTCCTGAAGAAATGGAATGTTGGAAATGGATGAGAGAAAAGAGAATTAATAATTTGAATACTTTGATAAAAATAGAAGAACAACGAAAATTAAACCCCAATCAGAGAATTGATAATATTATAAAGGCTTTGAATGATCAAACAATGTCAAATTGTTTACCAGTTAATAATTATAGTTTTGAAACTCATAATTTCAAGGATATCAAGTCTTTATCATGTAATTACTGTAACAAAATTTGTACATCAGAGAAGCAAATGTTAGCACATGAACAAAGTTCATTGCATATTACTCAAAAATTAATTCAAGGTAGGTATCTACCTAACAATAGAGTTTTTCTTATTAATGTTTATAATACTATATACTATATGTATTGAAAATATCAGACAACGTAATTTGGAAATTTAGGAAATGTCCAAATCTTTCTGCTACGAATTATCAACTATGTCAAAAGTAAGGTTTTAAAATTATTCACTGATATTTCTTTTCTTACTCTTATTATTCTTCTTATGAAAACTAGACATAAAGAAGGAAAATGCAAATATTCCAAATCGTTAGAAAAGCAAAACTTTTGCGCAGATGCTCATTCGATAGAGGAAATGACAGAGTGGTATGACAGAAAACAGTACGCCTCAAATATGAAAAAAATTAAAAAAGAAAAGGAGCTATTAAAGCATATTAAAGATTTTAATGAGAAAATTAAGAATGATAAAAGCCTATTGAAAAGAAATATAAGTGGAGTATCTTATCAGTTGTCTCCTGATTGCCCTAAAACTTCTATAAGTTTAACTAATTCAACTAGTTTTGAGTGGAAAATTTTTCTAAAGGTTAAAATTAATTAATTGCAAATATAAAATATTAATAATAAGGAAGACTTTATCATTAACAGTGCGAACAAAAGCTTAAAGCCATTCATCTTATTTATCCTGAATATCTATTTAACTTTCATATTCTCTCCAAAGACAGTCAGAAAGTTTATTATTGCCTTGAAGATGACCTAGAATATACGTCATGTAAGTTAGATTTTGTAATATTGTATTAATACGTACTAATATTATATACATTACAGTAAACCAAAGCTATAGTATTAATATTTGCTTTGATTGTATTAAAAATGGATCATTCTATCAATCTCTGATTGTTGAATTGGAAAATTTAGATAATTTCTTAGAAATTCCATTCTATGTTGATGTTGGAGAAAATGACGCATTAATGAATGTATATTGTATAATGAAATTTATTAGAATTTTTAATATTGATTTTATCTTCTTTATTCTCTTATAGCTTGAATTTGAAAGATCAAAATATGATTGTCGCGTTTGGTCAAATATGAATTATACCATTATTCCATACGAAAATTTTGTTACAGAATTGAATGGGACTACAAATGATAAATTAACAAATGAATTAATGAAGAAGTATAGTAAAAAGAGTTTAAACAAAGTAATTATTCAAGAAGAATACGAAAGAGAAGTCAATTATGTAAAATACTATCAAAAATTATTATATTTGGAGGAATATTATTGTCAAAAGTTATTAGACGTATTGTAAGTAACTAGCAATAGATAAAGTATACTATTAAGAGTAATACTCTATATGTTATTGTTATTACAGCATCCACGGAAAAACAAAAGCAGTTATAACAAACTTTATTCAAACTGAATTGCATGGTATAAAGTATTCAAGTGATGATACTCTCTTCGCAAAAATCCCTATCAGTAATCTGGTACCCGATACCAAATCTGGAAATATATTGGCAAGAAATTGCTCTTACATTCTAAGTATAAAAATTCTTTATAAAGTTTAATTGGACGCCTATTGAAACAGTATTCTCACTCCCTTTCCCCTATGCTTTTCATAGTTAAGGTAATCACAAATGAAGATGATGAAACACCGGTAGTCTATGAAACATTGATTGTTAGAGATTCAAATTTTGGTCTATGTCTCGACGATCTCGATTATTTATACGTTCATCTGTCTCGTACAGTGGTCAATTTAATTGGATTGAAGCCGTCTATGGAACTTGAGATAGAAGTAATTTCTATATAATGTTTTGGATTATTATTAGTTATTTTCATTGAATTATCTATTTTCTTTTCAGTGTAAAATAGTCTTGAATCCATATAAATTCTGTCATTGGCATTATGCACTTAATGAACTGGATAAAAGAAATCTTATTCATCTTACTTCTCCGGAAGATACAGCTCTTAATATGATTCAAAAGATTTATCATTTAACTGAATGGTAAATATTATTGGTAAAAGAAATTTTAATATATTCAATCAATATTCTGCCATTTTGTAGTAAAACTGAAATAGAAACCAATCTTCAACAACGGAAGGTTGTGTCGGCAATCATTAATCAAAGTCTGCTTGGTTCTAAACCAATTGTTGTATATGGTCCTTTTGGTTGTGGAAAAACAGAAATTTTGGCTACATCAGTCAAAGCCATAAAAATAAACAATTCACTTTCTAGAATTCTGATATGTACCCACGTCAATATCGCCGCTGATCTCTATATATTAAAATACTTTCACAAGTATAAATCTCTTAACATAAAAAGAATCTATAATTCGGATAGGAGATTGGATACTGTTGATGAAATGGTTTTACCCTTTTGTTTTCGTAAAGATAATGAATTCTATATTCCATCAGCCAAAGAAATAGAGAACACGGACGTTATCGTTACAACTATCGATCAATGCATTGAATTATACAAGATGAAAGCATACGGATTATTTAGTCATATATTAATTGACGAAGCTGGCCAAATTTTAGAATATGAAATGTGGCAAGCATTTCTATTGGCAAATAATAAAACAAAGATAGTTATGGCAGGAGATTATTTGCAAATGACACTACCAGTTTATTCCGACAATTCCAATTTGAAAATTTCACTATTAGAGAGATTAACTAAGTAACAAATTTCTTTTATATTCATTTAATGAATAATGAATTAATTATTCTATTAAACTTAGATATTATATTAGTAAATCGAAAGAGAACTTTGAAATTGTTGAATCGAATTGCATATTTCTGAAGCAAAACTATAGAAGTAGACCACAAATTTTAGAATTTCTATCAAAAGCCTTCTATCAAAGATCAGATAGTATTGTATCATGTGGAAACTTTCCAGATAATGGTCCAAGTTCTATATAGAAAAGAGTATAAATGAAAAATATATATACTTCTCTTTCTTTCAACAGATAATAAATGCCTATACTTTCATAATAATGAAAATAGTAAAGAATCATCGTCAAACTACTCTTATATCAATCTTGGAGAAATTCAACAAACTGAATACGTTATTAAGGAATTAATGAGATTGGAAAATGTTAAGCAAGCAAATATTACTGTTATTTCGTATTATACTGATCAGGTAATGAAAGTTGACAATTCTTTGAATACTTTATAATGAGTATCTTCAAATAGGTTAAACAAATTCGATGTTGTCTAAGAAAGGCTGGTTTATATAATGTTAAGGTATTATCGAGTAACTCTGTACAAGGTCAGTTATAGTATTTTATTAATCAATCATAATAAACTTTTAGTAATACAAATATAAACTATTGAAAATAGGTCAAGAATACGATATAGTCATTATAAATACAGTCAGAACTGAATATCTTGATAATCAGGAAACAGTTAATTCGTTCGGATTTTTCAATGATAAATCTCTAATTAATACTATTATGTCAAGAGCCAGACACAAGATAATAGTAATAGGTTGAATTTGCAATTTTTAATAGACTCTTCTATTGTAATTAAATTGAAATTTTTGTTTGAAAATATAATTCAGGTAATGGCAATTCGTTATGCAACTATGGAAAATGTACTTCAATATGGATAGATTACATTAAAGAATGCTCTAAATTAGGCACATTTTATCCTATTGATTATGATCTAAATTCGATGTTTAATTCTGCCATTAATTCGAAAGAATATGAAGATATAGATAGTGAATGTGATAACATTCTCAAGAGATTAGCCGAAATGAAAGTGGATATGAATTATGAAGATTATGAATTCAAACAATTGGAAGAATTATTACGTTATTCGGATTTCAATTTACCTAAAAAAGTTTATAATATTTTTCCTGAGACGGCAACGGAAAGTGTTGCTAGATTCGATAGACCTAATACTGTTACGATTTTAGAGAAAAAACTATGTCGTATAGCTTTTAACAGTATACCCTGTGCTCAACCGTTGAGGCCGGAAGAAGCTGAAATAGTTATTTCAGCATTTCAATTAGATATAACTGGATTAAACTGTAACGAAGATAATGAATTATATAATTTCCGAAATTTTTCAGATCGGAGATTTTCATTCCAAGACGATTTAACAGTTGTTGGATTTTATGAGTTAGCTGGAAAAAAATGGCCTTTAGTATTACATATTGTAAAAAGAATGCGAAATTTTACAGGTGATGCAATATTGTGTAGAGCAAATATTCTACAAAGAGGACAATTCATACCTCTTAATAGCGCTATCCCTAGGTTAATTTGCTGTAATTGCGAGAAAGATAACAATGGATTTCAGATACCCATTTTTAGTTCTTACAAATCAATTAAAGAGAATAAGAGTGTTGATGTTCATAGTTCGAAGAATCTTCTTTTCATCATTAGATGTTTGGTTTGGTCACGGAAACACCATTATTCTTTGGGTATTTGCATTGGTTACATAGACATTAAAAGCGATCTATCTTCTACGATCAAGGCATTAAATTTTAAGACTAATCAACCACATCGAGTAAAAGAACTTTTCTTTAAGAGTGGCGAATTTAAAGCTATTGCGTCTACAGGAGAAACTGGTAGAATAGATTTAACTTCTCACTTTGCCTTTACAATAGATTCTGAAAATACAAGGATGGCTGATGACGCTTTTACCTTTGAGAAATTCAGTTCGCAACACTATAGAATTGGAGTTCATATTGCTGATGTATCAAGGTTTATTCCTAAAGATTCTGTTGTTGATAGAGATATCAAGAAAAGATGTATAAGCTATTATGCAACTATTGGTATTACTCATCATATGTTTCCTACACAAATTGGCGATTTTTTTTCTTTGAATCCTCATTGTGAAAGATACACTTTAACTGTATTTTATGAATATGATAATGGCCAATGGATTAAAAGTGATCCTATTAAGACTATAATCAAATCAAAACGGAAATTTTCTTATAAAACTGCACAAGATATTATTATTAATAATAACAATCATAATATTTCTCTTGACCTAAGAAGGATGTATGAACTTGTACAACAATTACGTAAATTACGATTGGGTATTTCATTTTTTTCAAATACTCTTAACTTTGATTCGCCAGAAAATGAAGCACAGAGCTTAGTAGAAGAATTAGCTATACAAACGAATCATCGTATTGCAGAATATTTATATTCTCGTTATGATAATATTCTTATTAGGACACAATATCCTGCTGAATTAAAATTAGAAGCTTGGAAAATTGAATATTACGAACACAACCTAAAGAATTTTGAATTATCATCGAATCATGTAGGTTCAACAGCAGAAAATAAATTTAATCCGGAAAGCGTTAATAAAAATCCGGTGGAAATATCTAAATCAAAATGGCTTAAAATAATTGATCTTTTGGAGCAAAGTGAGATAAGAGAAGCAAAACGAATGTTAACCGATACGAACAATTTTCCAAAGCATGGTTTGTCTTTAGCTGCTCTTCGAGACTCTTTGAATAAGTCAGCATATGATGTATGCTCTTCAAACTTTAAAGTCGGACATTTTGGTTTAAAATTGGATATTTATACACACTTTACAAGCCCAATAAGACGATACATTGATATTGTAGTTCAAAGACTTGTCACGAGAGCTTTAGAGGGTGAAAATTCTAATATATATAGTATAAGGGAGTTATTAGAAATATGCCATGAATCAAACGTGAAGATTAATGCGTCTAATAGATACAAAAGTAATCTTGCCATGTTTGGTTTAACCTTTCTATTGAAGGAGAGAAGTGCATTATTCGAAGTCGTAATACATAGCTTTAGTATAGGATCGGTTGACGTTAAATTTTTGAAGTTAGGAAGCCTTTTGAATTCGACATGTCGAACTATTAGAAGCGGTTATTTGGGACTTAATAAAACTCCTGAACTTACAGATGATGATTTATTGAAGCTTAGTTGGAAGCAAAAGATATATGATAATAAAATTTCGAAATGCCAGAATACAAATAACAAAGTTATACAATTGGATAATAAGTCTAATGTAACTAAAATCCCAAATAGAATATGGCAAGAAATATTGACTTTTATAAAAGATGATAAAGGAGAAAAAATTGTTAGTTTATTATCAAATATGAAGGATTTAACAAAGAGAACTCATGAAATAGAAATTCCTTATGCAACTTCTTCTCTGAATCTCGATTTAAATAGTACAGTTTACGAGTATGAAAAAACTCAATCAATTGTCGATCGTGAGTTTGTTCAGTTTGAATTATCGATATCAAAAGGAGATATACTTAAGTTACAAGTGGGATGGGCTATTGAAAATAATCTTCTTATACCGAAACCACAATATCTAAAGTTGTCATCCAATCATGGAATTTGTATTCAACATTCTTCAGATGCAATCAATAGCTTTACCAATTTTACACCATCAAAAGCTTCATCTCTTAGATACTCTACGATATCGCAATACAAAGAGTTATGGAAACCGATTTTAGAGTTGAATGCAGTGTACAATTCACTGAAAAATAGTGAAGGATATATTTTAAGAAATGTAGAAATAACCTGGATGAAACTATTAAAAAATACCTTTGGCTATTTCAAATTCAATGAAAAATTGAACACGGAACTTAAACTAAAACTTGACGATGATGACTATGTTTGTATAAGATACTATAATATTTATAAAGAAGAAAACGATAAATGGTTAGATAATTTAGATATCGAACCTTTAAAAACCGTCTTAAATAACTTGTACAATAAACAAGACACGTTTCAGGAACTCTCAAATTTCTCTGTAAGTAAAATAAAAGAGATACATTCAAATTACAATGCAAACTGGAACGATATTGTTTGGATTGGTCATGGAATTATAAAAACTACTGATGATGGTTTCGAAATTGATTTAAATGAAGCGTCTAGAAAGTTACACCCAGAATTGTTGGGAGAAACACAATATTTAGCCACCTTAGAAATAATTCATAAGTCTTTGGCAGATAGATATCGCATTAAAGCTATACAAAGTTTAAATTGTGATGAATCGTCATTAGTTAATGATATAATTTTGGCTAAAAACAGTCCATCATCATCAAAAACTGTAACTTTTGATAGAGTTACCTCTGTACCTGGATTATTCTGTCTGAATACAAATCAAACTAGAGCTGTTAGCTCTGCATTATCTCAAGAATTTACTCTTATACAAGGACCGCCAGGAACTGGTAAAACTTTAACATGCTCCCATTTAATCAAGAATTTTTTGGATAGAAATAAACCCGGCGAGGTTCTAATGTTTTGTGGACCATCAAACAAATCTGTTAACGTTATTATGGATTATTTGGTGAAAATTAGTGGAATTAATTTCCTAAGAGTTATGGGTCAGACTGCTGAGATTCTCGATTTTCCGTTACCGAAACGTAAAGGTAATATAGCCGACCAATCGGAAAATCTTAAATATGATCCGAAAATGAAAAAGTATATTTTACATCAAATTGTACACGAAGATGTAAAAGTTCAACAGATATATAAGGAAATTTACGAATGTACCAATATTTTAGAGATGATGGAGAAAACTGAAACTTACTTACAAATATTTAAAGAAAAGAAAATTGAAAGAATAAAGAAATCTAGAATTATTTTAACAACTTGCACGAATTCTTATACGAAGGTTTTGAGAAAAGCTTTTGATAATGGAGAATTAAAACTCAAACAATTGATAATTGATGAAGCAGCTATGTGTACTGAAGCTGAAACGCTTATACCAATGGCTACCTATAAACCTGAACAGATTGTGTTAGTTGGAGATCAGCAACAATTGGAACCTATTGTGACTTGTATGACCACTGTACAATTGGGATCAAAACAATCATTGTTTAGTCGATATGCAAAACTAGATCCAAAAATCATGGTTATGTTAACCGATCAGTATCGAATGCATTCAGAGATTGCTCAATTTCCTTCAAAATATTTTTATAACAGTAAACTTAAACCAGTTTCAGAATGGCAGACAACACCTTTAAATGACATGTATACAGGAGCAGTTTTCTATCATATTATTGGTAAAGAAAAGTCAACATATGTTAGTACAATACAATCAGCGGAAATGTTTAAAAGTAATGTGGAGGAAGCGAAATTTGCTTTAAAAGCTATTGAAAAATTAAGATTGAGAGGTATAAAACCAGAGAATATCGTTGTACTGGCGCCATATAGAGCTCAAATATTTGAATTATTCGCTTTAATGGAAAAGCAGTCTTATTACAAACAAAAATTATATCTTGGAGTATCTGTTCAATCCATAGTTTCTTCTCAGGGCAGTGAATGGGATTACGTTATTTTAACTTGCGTCCGATCGATAGATGAAAACTGCAACCCGCCGAAAACATTGGGTTTTATAGGACATCCAAATCATATTAATGTTGCTATTACAAGAGCAAAGAAAGGTTTAATGATAATAGGTAATATCTGAAATCGTTAGTTATTATTAAATTTATTATTACTAATATGTTATTATTACTATTTACAGGAAACGAAAATGTATTATGTAAGTATCTTTGTTGGGAACATCTATTGGAACATTACAAAGCTAAACAATGCATAGTTAATGTTAATATGTGAACGAAAATTTCTAATGTTCATGGCGAATCATTAATATGGAGGTATTTAAATGTCTTTATTATTAGTTATTTATATGTTGAACACGTTAGTGTGCTTTATTTGAAAAATACAAATGTATTTTTATTTTAATTACGCATAGTTTACCAGTTGATATATTAAAGAATTCTATACTGTCTCCAACTAATATTTGATTTAAATTAATTGATAAATCTATTAAATAATAACGGAAATTAGTTAGTTAATTAAAAAAAAAGTATTTTAATCAAATAATTAATTATAAAATATTGGAATTATATTTAAAAGAAGTACTTTAAAACAAGATACACTCACCTATTTATGGCGGATTATATACACTATATACTGTGTATACATGCAAGCACGTACACTCTTTTTTCGGCATCTGTTTTTTCAATTATTTCAGCTCTACATCACATACAATAAAATAGATCAAATGATTGAATATATGTAAAATATTTACTTTGTAATTATTGCAAAATTGCAATTCTTTCACAAAAATCAGATGAATATCTGAAACTAATAAGCAACATATGCTAGTGTATAAAGCTTTTACTAAATTGATCGAGTATATATAGCTTTTACTTTTTTCAACTATGAGCTGTTATTCAAAGGATAAATAATTTTAATATTAGTGGATATTAGTATTACTTTTATTACTATTTTCTTCAATCAAAGGTGATATAACTATTATATAAATGTTATATTAGATATAGAAGACTTTATTAAGGGGTGATAAGAGTATTAGAGTTGAGAAAATTTACTCAATAAGCGTTACTAGTTTGCAAACTATATATAAAAGTCATAAAAGTTATAGAGAAATTACGTATTTCTTGGTATAGGAATAATATTTAATCACTTTCTAATTTCCTTTATAAGATTAAATACAATAATTTCTTTTATCAAATGAAAATTAGATGAAATAATTACTATTTCAACGAAATGGGAATTAGTCTATAAAACAAGCGCCATCTTTTACAGTTTGCAAACTAGATTTCCGACTGTTCTATAGATTCTTTAACAATAGGAAAAAAATCCAATATATTTTATTAACGATCACTTAATTAAATAAAGAGTAACAGTGAAAGAATAGAAAAAAATCTTTATTGAACATACAATATTTAACTAATTTACAACATGTAAAGGAAAGTCATTCTTGTATCTAATACGAAAATAAACAATAAAAACCGATGATTAATAGCTAAACTTTTGGCATAAGGGAAACCGGAAGAGTCCATGTTCAATCTGGTTTATATAGAATAAAATAGTGTATACGGAATAAAACGGTATATATTTATAAACAGCACGTAGGAAATCTTTTAATTAGTGAATGACAAAAAAAAGATGAAATATATATATTTTATCTTGTATCTTTTAAAAGATATTTGACAATTTTGGTGTTATTTTATTATTATATTCCATATTTTACAGTTCATTTTTATTAATATATTTTTTTTTATATAAAAAACAATTGAAACGCAAAAAAAGAAACAAAAAATAATTAATGATGATATTATCTATAGTTCTACGAACCTTTTATGTTTATAAATTATTATAGACTACAATAATTTATAACGCATATCGAACGTCGATAATTTCAAAAGAATCCTCAATAAATTGTCTTGGGCAATAGCTTCATTATCTTTTTTCCTTCTTTAATAATATAAATACATATACGCGTTTATATTCATATCTATAAGTTTAAAACATAATATCAGAAAAAGCGTACATTCAGTTAGTTATTCAGTTGTAAAAAGACTTAGTTTTGTTTTTAGGGAAAAACTTGTGCCTACTTGATCGTACTAGTGTTAGGTTTAAATTAGATGGTACGTAAGGGAATTTAGAAAAACTTTTCCTTTTATAAAAAGAGTCACATGAGAAGTTTTACTATGAAAAAAGCCTTTAAATGACATTACTTTTAAAAGACAACCATTACTTATTAGTAAAAAAAAACTATCGTGAAAAATCAATTATATAGTACATCTAAAGACGTTTTGGATGTTTATTGTATACTTATAAATAAATATAAGACAAAAGAAAAGAGAATTAGATTATCCCTTTACCAACTATTGATTGAATAACAATTAATCTATAGAAAACAATAGATGAATACCTGTACATAATTGATATTTATCATAAATTAATATACAAAACCTCAAGTGTATTTTAAATAAATATTATTTTAGCAAGGTTATATAAAGATATTTAAAATTCTTCTATTCCTTTCAACAAGCTTACTAATCTAATTTTCACTTCTCTTAACGTTTATTTAAGTAATAACGAATATTTCAACATCTAACATGATGTCATGAAAATAAAAAGCATTTCATTTAAAATTTCTTAAAAGGTGCTAAGAGGTTTAAAAATGTTACACAAATTACTCTTTAAAAGAAGGTTACGAGATAGATAGAAGGAGGAAAAGAGAAAGAGATAGACAGACAGACAGACAAAAAAAAGTAACAGAATACAATGAATATATCTATATACAAATAAATATAATAAAAGAGATAAAGCCTACATTTTGTATAGTTAATTCTACGAAATAAACAGGCATTCGCAACTGTGGATTATTTATTCTAGTTCCTCTTTTTTTTTAGCTTGATAATTAGTTTCATTTTGCCTTGTTATAAGCATATTTTCTTGAAAGATGTCCAATTATCAATTATAAACCGGCTTTATAGTTTTAATATGAAATAATTTAGGAAATATTTTGGCTACAAATCAAAAAGTATCTTTTTTTTATATGATAAATTAATTAAATTACTTAATTTTTGCATGTCTTCTCTATTCATATATAGAATTCGATGTTTCCGTGGCTGACAAAAGGAAAAAGGTAAGAGACTCAATACAAGCATTAAATTGACTATTGTATGGTGCTTTTTTAAATTATAACTCTAGTAGGATGCTGCTGATAGCTCCAATTATTTTCCTGACCATATATTTCCTTTCATTAAGAAGTGGGGTGTACGAAATGTTAAGACAGATGGAAAGACCTACTTTTTCATTGGGAAAAATAGGCATATTTACCCTACTAGAAAATAATAAAGTACCTGAAAACAATTGGAGTATTCTGCGAATAAAGGATAATATTGAAATATGGGCATTATCAGCCATTGTGCAAGACAGCGAAACGTCTCATACTATTGGATATAAACATCCAGCATTAGTGATATTCTTTGTTGCAAACACTAGATATCTTGATAAGAAAGCTAACTTAATTTGTGACATTATTGCATTTAACGGATCGATAAAATCTAGGCGAGCAAAAGTAAATACTCTCAAAAAATCTTACAGATATAAAGAAACAGGCCTGCAAGATTATTTCATTACTTGTCCATTGTACAAGGATGACACTAAATTAAGAAAAGTCGGCTTGAGATGGCGCAAAGCATCAATTCAGTTAGATGTCTTATATCCTTATTCAAAACCGAGCAATTTAACAATTTGCGTTCCGATTTTATATGGATATTTCGAGAAGAATATGCTTATTGAATGGTTTGAATATTATAAATGGTTGGGTGTCGAAAGCATTCACGTTTATCCGTGGAGAGTATCTAAGACAGTAATGGATGTTCTAAGGTTTTTTGAAAACAAAGGAATGGTGGTAGTGAAAAGCATAAAGAATCCAGTTGAAATTAATTATAAATGGAAAGAGAGTATGCTATTCACTAATAAAAAGCCAATGATGATTAAAGCAATTATGCCTCCAATTTTGAATGAATGCTTCTTAATGAATTCAAAACGATCCCGTTATGTATTGTCTATAGATTTTGATGAAGTGCTTATGGTTAGACAAAAAGAACGTCTCTTCACCCTGATAGAACGTTATCAGAAGCAAAAAAATTGTCATTCTCAACTGACATTTGGACAGTATTTTTTTGAAGTAAGCTGTAACAAGACAAAAAACCATCCATCATTCTTATTCTCTCACGTGTTCAGACAAAAAGACAAATATTTCCGATATGTAGCTCCAAAATCAATAATAGACCCTCGATTTTGTGAATATTACGGAAATCACTTTTGTTCTCGAAAAATTCCAGCATATATAAATAAAAAAAAAGAAATATTTTCAAAATGCCTGATTAATAGGAGAGATGGCTTTATAGCTCATTTTAGAAAGAAGAGCACATGCTTTCGTAGGACTGTAAATGAATATACAGAAGAGAAATCACTTGAAAAGTTGAAAAGAGATTTAGAACCAATTTTTAAAAGTGCAAAACAGAACTTTGCTAAGTTTCTACAAAAGATAACAATATAATTATAAATGAATAAAGTTCTAGAAATATCTAGTTTATACATATATATTCAACAACAGCTAATTATTTATTATATGATGAATCTCCTAAATCACTTTGCTTTTTGATGTATAGACTAATTTTGCTTCCGATTGGATTATATTCAATTGTCTCTAGAAGAAAGGCAGAGATACTGCATTGAATATGTAAATATATAGAAATGTTTTCTAATGAGAAATGAACTTGATAACCAATCTTAAAATCCGTTAGAAGGACATAAGCTGTGGGATATAAAGAAATTTTGGTGTCCAAGTCGAATTTTCACTGAGTTATTAATTGACGAGAACTACATGTACGGGGAAACTTAAACCCAGAAGTGCAATTAATTTGTATGACGTCATCGTAATAGAACATGGTAGCTTTTCGTAAATGTTATATTGATAGGATTTTTTAACAAAGGGCAGATTATAGATATACATATATATATGTCTTTACATAGATAAAGAAATAAACTTTTATTTCATAAATTTATCATTTCCTCTTCCTAACAGTCTTAAAAATTCAATAGAAAGTAAGAGCTGTTAAGTTTTTCAAATCGATATCTTTTGTTTTTTTCACTGTTGCTGTCTATTATTCTATCGTACTTATTCTCTTCTTCTTCTTCTTCTTCTTCATTCTGCCTACTTAATTTTTCTCTCTTTCACTCTCTCTCTCTGTCTCTCTGTCTCTATCTCTCTATGTGTATCTATCTATACAGATATTTTTTCTCTTTGGTAGATTACCTACTTTAAGACTGGTAAATGATTGTAAAATCAATCAGAGTCTTTTTCCAAGAAAACCTTTACCTATAAAATAATTAAATTTTCGCAATTACACCACTTGTGAGTGTTTATGATAAAATTGGAATGATTAGAGTATAAAAGACATTTTAATCAAGTAAGATAGATTAAACGGTAGCTGGTACTTTGTTTAAACAATTTGTTAAGTTTAGTATTTTAATGTTTAAACATGTTAATTACTAATGCTATCCTGGATTGACATCTGTACCTGGAATGTCTTTGATCCGTAAGAGGATAAATATCTGGGGTAATATTTTATTAATAAAAGAAAATTATAAATTGCATGTAAAACGAAGTAGATTTGACTGTTGAAGTCATCAAGTGAAATTAAATTCAGCATAATCAAGGTACAGAATTATCTACTGCAAAATTTGAAAAGACTGCAAAAAATAAACTTTAGTTTAGTAAACTTTTTGTTTTCTATTATATACAATGTTAAATGTACTGAATCTTTTAGTACACCATTTATTATTATTACTATTATGATATAGAACTATTTTTTATTACTTATTTATATCCAGCTTCAAGTCTTGTTATAGGATTCTTATGTACATATAGACATTTTTGTCAATTTCTATTACTAAATTCAATATTAAATAGTTCCCTCAGCGAGACTAGAATAAAAGTTACTAAATTTAGGTCATTATTTTATTTGCAAGCGGAGAGATAAAAATCAACTGAGGCAATTCTCTTGTTTCTCTTTATGTTATGTAAAAAATAGATTCCATAATTATTTTGAATAGCCTTTTGTTGCAGTTATTATATTATGATCACGTGATATTAATGAATAACTAACAAGCCATAGAATAAATAACAAGATGAAGCTTCATAATCTATAGAAGTAATTGCAAAGTTCGAAAACAACGAATATATCTTTATACAACAAATCTAACATAAAAAACACCTAATTTTCAAATTTTTAGAACGAACGGAGAATAGTGAACCGGAAACGGAATTAAAACAATAGACTATAATTAGATTTGTTCATTTTTAGAACAAAATACTTATTATAAATAATAATGAAGAATGTTTAAATGTGAAATAATATAATTAAAAATAAACTGGTAAGTGAACTTGATGAAATTATAAATATTTATAGTCCCTCTACACAAGAAATTTTTATTTATATGTTTTCTTCAATTGCACAATTCTCTTTTCAATGAAAATTCAATGACGTTAAAAAAAGAAATCAATAATAAATAATAGAAATTATACCTTATATGATATACTTATTCCATTATCATTGTCATCAGGTAAAGCTTTATCTTTATAGACTTTTTAAAGTTTCTCAATCGATTGTTTATTAAATTTTTTTCTATTAATTGTTTGTCTTTTTTTTTTAAAAAAAAAATTATAATAGAATATTTTATTACAAAAACATACAGACGTTATTATTTTCCTATGATATAGAAACTTAAAACTAAGCTTTAGAGTGTCTAGTTTATATAGCCTTAATAAATCAATGAAATTATATATCAAATATCCTATTCAAAATGGTATAATTCATAATCTTTTTTTATCCTCTTCTTTTTTAAACAGAATGTTTCTCCCTCAACTGTCCCGTTATTAAATAGCCTTTGAATATTAAAAGTCCTTTTATGTCTAGATTCTATTCGCCATGATGCATATAATACTGCATAGCCGTTATTAGTAATGCATGTTCTAAGATTTTACAAAAGAAACAGTTTTTCTTGTTGTTTGTTTGTAATATAAAGAGCTACATGTCTAAAGTTAAATATACTTGAAAAAAGGAAATACACTATTCATGGATAAAACAAGTCGTCGATCGTTAAATCTATTATCTTTTCAGTCTTGAATGATTGCTCTTTAACGCATTTAAAAAGATACTCAATCGTAACGATATTATCGGAATTCTCTGATTCGTTATATTTATTTAAATGTCCATCTCGACTATTGAAAATGAATGATCAAAAGACTTTTCCATATAGGAAACGTTGTCAACTTGATAAAAGAAAATCGTTTTTCCTGAGTGATATTGACGATAATTTGGGCATTTTTAGATGTAAACTATCTAAAAGATAAACTTTCATTAATCATTCCTATTCTCTGGTGTGATTAGGGAGATAAATAAAAAAGGGAGTTTGATCAACAGATCTCTTTCTAGTACATTATATAAATTTTATTTAGAAAGAGACAAATGAAATAGAAACAAATTTCAAATGTTGCTTTTCCTAAAGAAAGTTAAAAAGAACAGTTTTAATCGCAGCCAGCTTGAATTTATTCATGCAAAGATTATAGATATGATTTATGTATGTATATGTAACAATAATATAAATTTTATAGAGTTTATTTCACTTCATTACCAGAATAGTCATTAAATCAATTATTATTAAAAGAAATAACAAACTGAGATTTGCTATTAAACATAATACTCCGTAGGTTACAGCATTTTCTGCTTCATTCCCTTTATGATAAGTTTCTTCTGTACTTTTATCGATTATTGCTGTTTTATAATGATTTTTTACTCTCGTTTTTAATATTTAGATATATTCTTTAATGATATGATACTTATAAGTTTTGAAAATTATATCATTTCTACTAAATTTACCTTTACACTCTAAGTTCATTTTTGGTTGCCATTCTCCTTTCTCGGTGCAGAAAAGTGTCGATTCGTTAATTGCCGATTGAAAAGAAAATCCAGGATCGCACTGCACTTTGATATATTCACCATAGTTTTTTCCAGTCGAATTGACATTGATATTATTCCATATAGGTAAAATTGGACAGGTAACAACTGTACGTAAAAACAAAAGCTATAGACTCTTTATAGATATAATGGTCAGTTTGCTTATTGGCTGATTTCTGCAAACGCTAGAAGGACGTTAGACCTGTGCAATTGTAGAAAACGGGAGTCCAAGTCGAATTTTCATTACAAGCTATTAATTGACGAGAACTACTTGTACTGGGAAACTTAAACCCAGAAGTGCAATTAATTTGTATGACGTCACCGTAATAGAACATTTTAGTTTCTCTATAAACGTTTAACAGAGTATTTTCATCCAAAATTGGAATTTTGCAGTTCACCTCTAATTGGAACAAAAAAAAAGTTTATTAGACAGTTATTTCATATAGATTATATGTCATATTTTATTGCTAACTTTCACACTTGACATCTTTATAGTTTAGTTTACCAGTTTTCATACATTTAAGTTGTAATATATCAGTTGAAGAATGAGAAAATTTATAGCCTTTATTACAAGATAATGACACAATTGATCCGTAATAAGTAAGATTTGTTGAATATTTAGCATTTTCAACAATAGGGAAATTATCACATTTTACTTCTGTTTAGATACTTAAAGCTTTATCCTATACTGTATATCATTAGGAGTTTTACTTACTCTCACAAGCAGGATATTCACCTTTCCACTCAAGTTCATTTGAACAAATTAAGTAATTAGCAGTTATAGATCTATAGCCATCGTTACATGTGTAATTAACGATCGAACCTTGATTAGCGTTATCGAACAATTTAACGGTATTTTTATAATCGGGAGGATGTGTACAACGTTGCACTATTGAAGAAATAAATAATTAAATTATTATTCTAATAAAGTAGAAATTATTCTTTAGATTTTATTAAGTATTTACTTGTACAAGCTGTGGGAATGCCATCCCAATTACCCGTTTCAAGACATTTTACAGTTGTAGACGTAAATCCAGTCAAAAATTTATAACCATTGCGACACACGTACTCAATTTGGTAATTTAAAAAGTATTGTGGTTGAGGAAATTTAATTATAGCATTTGTCACATTTGAAGGGTCTTGACACATTATAACTGTTGAAAAGTAATAAAAGAAGGTATTAGAAAGGAAAATGTGTTGAAAAAAAATACTTTGGCAATCTGATAGGGTATCATTCCACTTTTTAGTCGCTAAGCATTTAATAAAAATAGAGAGACGACCATCTTTAAATTTATATCCTTCTCTACAACTAGCCTTGATAACATTCCCATAGGCAGTATTTTCTTTACTTAGTCTCATTTCCTTAAATTTAGGAATATGGGGACATTGTTTTTCTATAAGATTATATAAATAAATATGTGTTTAGTATTTAAATTTAATTGACTGCCTTGGCAGGAGAATTTCAAGGTTGACCATCCATTTTCATTGCAGTTAATTGTCTTTTCATTGGTTAAATCTGGATACTCATGGCCTTCTATACATTTATAGATTGCTTTGGTTTTTAGCTGCAGTAGTTTTGTATTAGGAAAAAATGGATATATTCCACAGTCTGTAACGTAGATTTAAAAAGTTAATCAAATCAATTACAGTCTTTTGATGGGAAAAATGTACCAGAAAGAGGACACCAAGATGATAAACTCCATTTCCCTAGCGAAGTACACTTGACCTTATATAAATTCAAACCATCTGGGCACTGTTTTTCTATTACGTCGTTAACTCTATACTCCTTAGAACCATGTTGACATCGAACCTCTAAGGTTTTTTTGATAAAAAAAATCAATAGTTTTAAAAAGTATTTGGACTTTTTCCTTTGAAATCTACTTCTATACTTGTACATTACAAATTATTGAAATTGTAATATATATCATTCTAACCTATACAATCTTGTAGCCTAGAGCTCCAACGACCGTTGCTGAGGCATTCTAATGTTCTAAATCTGCTACCATCAGGAAGAACTTTGTCAGGAGGACATGTGATAGTAATTACAGAGCCAACTTTGTACTTGTCCGCAAGATTTTCTCCCATTGATCGTTCGAGATTAGTACAAGTTGCTAGAGAAGTAAAGAAAATAGAATATTATAAGAAAACAGGTAAAATATAATACTAATTTTTTAAAAGCTGGCATGTATATAAAAATTAATAGTTAATGTACGCTGTAAATAACACCCATTGGCTATTTTTACTTGTAGTACCGTCTTTTGGTACTGCATCTATAGGCCTAGCTGTTTTCGCAAGTTCGTCGATTGTTGTTGATTTAGATCCCCATAAATCGTTTCTAAATTGTTGCGTATATGAATTATGATAGTTTCTCCTTTAAAAAAATTGTAAACTCAACTGATTGGTAAATTTTGAAAGAGATTCCGTGCTTGTTTCTATTTCATAGCTTTGTTTAAAAGGTTTATTGCTTTTATCTGCTTTTGATTGGAATGCTTGTTTCGGAGTTGTAATCGACGCCGAAATGCCCGTTGACGCTTGGACAATGGTCGATATTAGACGAGTCGATTTAGAAGATGATATTGAAGATGAAAAGGTCGATTGAGTCAATGTAGAAGTTATACTGTTATCAATCGATGTTGTAATCGATTGTGAAATAGTTTCATTAAAGATACTATTTTTGTTTGTTGACTCTGTGATTTCATTTGGAATAGTCGATGTCTCACTTGAATAATTTTCTTGAGTTCCTAAAGCAACTTGGGTTGTAACTATCGGTTTAGTAGCTGTCTTTGTCAATTTTGTTTTTTCCCATAATTGACTAGTTTCCGCTGTATTGATCAGCATAGTTGTTGTACTTTTAGAAATTACGTTTGTACGTGAATCTGTTAAAAACAAGGTTTTATATAAATATTAATAAGGCGTTGTTAATGAAATTTAAATGAAAATTTTACTACCTACCGTTAACGCACAACACGTAATTTTTTGTTGAACAATTAACAATCATTAACTCATCAGAACCGATTACACAATCGATACCGTTAGAAGATGCCTTTGGTTGACTTGATTTCCATTTCCAATTGTTATCAATTAGACTGTTTTATGGAATATTTAAATATTCTAATTCATTCTCAGACTTGTTAGCAGAAAAATAAAAGAAGGAAATGAAGGTTACCTATCATCTGAATCAAATCTTACGTCATTATTCTTCATATGCATTCCCAAGAAAAAAGATTCAGTCTTTAATTCCAACGCAAATCTATATATAAATTTATATATATACTGTATATATATATATATAATAGAATGTTAGGAAACGATTTATCTTTATACTTAAGTTTAGGATCAATTGTACATATGTGCTTGTAGGTATTTTCCCAAACTTGTCCATCCATTTCCATCAGGTTATACCCTAAATTGGTGCAGATGTCCTTGGATTCGCTTTTACGAAACGCATCGTTAATTATGCAAAACTCGTAGTTGTTGTAGTTAACTTTATAGGTGCAAGCTGACAGGTAATAATGGAAGTGTATGTTGTTTTTTTCAACTTGGTAAATTAAAATGCATAGACTATGAAGTTGATAATTAAATGGACAAGAAACACAGTTACATATATTTAAAAGTCGAAGGATGACAGACATAGAAGTTCAAGTTGAAAGCTTAGAAAAAATATATTTTATTAGACCTAGTTTAACCGATATAGAATTTAAACTTTATTAAATATTCTTACTAGAGTTAAGCACTTGAGAACAGAGTATGAAAACTTTGTCCTTTTTGGAGCAATCTTTCGCTTTCCATTTAAATGGTTCTTTTAAATCAATCATTGCGCAATCTCCTTTATCGTTTTCTTGCTTGGTCCATCCAACTGCGTCTGCTAAATCAGGATTTAAAACAGTACAATCGGGCCATATCCAATTACCACTTCCTTTAGGAATTTGCATAAGAGGTAAACGAATCTTTCTATGTGCAAACAATCAGAGAAATTGTAGAAAGAAATATATTAAATTTAATCAACTTGAGGAGTAAAGCAACACAACATGGTTAACTTACTTATATTTCACTTTTGTGGATTTTTCAGGGTGTAAAAGTTTAGAAGTAACTAATTGTTGATAAGATGTTAGATTATTAGGAAATGTTAAAGCAAACGTTGCATGAGCATCTTTGACGCTTGAACAAAATCCCGCTGAATCCGTCATGGGGATAGATTTCTTTGCCACACAGTAGAGTCTGCCGTTAATAATAGTCGGGTTAGACAAATTGCATTCCAAGGAGTTCGTTGTCTCCAAACGATGAATACTTAAAACAATAACGGTAAGGAAAGTTAGAGCAGGAATAAAATAATTCATAATTTTCCAAGTATAGACCTAAAGGGGCAGACTCCACTTGGATGATTAAACGTTCCGAAAGATCAGAAGAACCTAATCGATTTGGTTTTGCTTACTCGACTAATGCATTGAATGTACAATTCATCGGAAGCGGGGTTTACATTCCTAAAAAGTGTAATGGATCTTGAATCGACGTTTATTCATATTGTTTTAAAAATCTATAATCTTTTATGCTATTTAAAAAAAAGGAACTTGTGTGATAATTTTCTTTCTTTATCAAATTCAGCAAGTAAATGAGCAGGAAATAAAAGAATAATACTTGGAGGATTTATCAGTTTTTTGGGTAAAACTTAGAAATAACATCAACGGCATGAAAATCAAAAAGCCTACTCACTATCCATTTTGAATTAATTTTACTAATCTTTATTTTTCAGAAATAAACAGATGGAAGGAAGAAAGCAAAGGCAGATAAATAGATTGATTGATAAATGGATAGATAGATAGATAGATAGATAGATAGATAGATAGATAGATATATAGATAGATATATTGATAGCTAATAAGAGAGAGAGAGAGAGAGAGAAAGGCAGAGAGAAGGAGAAACATGAAAAAAAACTCGGATATATATAAGAAGTAATTGTTCATTTCAAATATTCTTAAATTCATTAGATTATTTAAGTAACAATTAATAAAAACTGGGAGATTCCTAAAATTTAAAGACAGAATAAGAATTATATTCAGTGTGGTCTTAGGCAGGCAAATGAATGATTTCTTTGATTTTTCTCTTTTCTAAAGCTATTCCTCCCCATCTTTTTCATATCTCTTTAAAGCAATAATCTACCTTTTCTTTCTCTTTTTTCATTATTTAATCTAAAGATATTACCAAATTTGTTTCATGATGCGAATGCAGGTGCATCTGCAATCTTATTTATGGGGCGTGTGAAAAAAAAGACTAACACTCAAGAGAATGGAAGTTATATAAATATAAATATATTTATATTGTATGCAAAATATATTGCAGAAACGTGTTCGTACTGATTTTAAAAAGTGGCTTTTTTTGCTTAGAATAAGCGAAAGAAAAATTACAGAAGATGAGTAATGTAGATATTATTAATTTTTTTTTGCCGATTGTAACCTATAAAATTTCCTATTGTTTTAGCTTTCCATATATATATAAATGCTGTATATACAGTATATATATAGACAGTATATATATAATATATATATAAATTATATTTATATATATATATATATATCTGTGTGTATGCCTTATAGGTAGTTCAAGAATAATTGTAGAAAATGCTTACTTAGAATCTACATCAGAATAAATTATCATTATATAAAAACCAAACGACAGCGCACCTATCCTGTAAGTTAAAGCAATCTGCATTAACAGTAAAAGCCGCCTATGAGCAGCAATATACTGCAAAACCCTACCGGCAAGAGAAACTCGTGTCAATAAGCGTCTCTCGACGCAGCGTCAGGTAACGTTCGGACTGTCGATATTGACAACAAGTTGATTTAACAACGTCCAAATATCTTCAGATTTTAGTGAAGGTTATTATTAATTTTTATTCTTAAATAATTGAAATCGGTACAAAGAAGTTCTTAAGCAGAAAGAAATCTTGTTTCGGATAATTTTTGAGAAACTTCTATATATGCATGACTTAAATGAAAATTCTCTCAGACAGAGTTTTCAGGAGGATTTTTATTTTCATTTCCAATAGGAACGTAAAGCAAGAAAAAGATTTCTTTTTGCAGGTGTCGAAAATCGATGCTAATCTTTGCTGACGCTGACGTTTTAGATCTTATTTCGTCCTTTTTGAAAGGAAAGACGCCCTTTTCACGTAAGGCGTCTTGTAAAATTACTGGTCTTATATAAAATTGCCTTTACCGAATTACAGTGTCGCCTTTCATGTTATTCTTTTTTTCCTGATTCTCTTTTGCCATCTTCCTGTCTTCTTTTACACTTTAATAGACAATTAAGCAGGTGTTTTAGTGATCTATATGCTAATTTTAAACTGTGAAGAAGAAGAAAAAGTATTTGCAACAATGTTTACATATGCTACGAAAGAGCTAAGGTTTCAATTATTAGAGGTATATAACGAATAAAAACGTGATTATTACTTCTGTCAGCAAAGAGAAATGACTATTATTTGCCAATAATATATTTTATACCAAATAAAATTATAGACAATATGTTGTATATGGCAGAAATATAATGTAAATAGGATATAGAAGGTAAAATATAGATTAAATTCACATTAAAAGTTTGTCTATTGTATATTTAAAAAATATATATATATATTGTAATAACACAAATCATTATTTTTCTTTATAATAATAACGATCTTTTTTTCCAATGATACTAACTTTGATATAACTTCCTGTATCTTATCCAATGAAGACTAATTACTTTTTGATTTTTCTCATTTTTTCTTCTTAACAGACATAATATGCAATGCGGAAGAAATAGATTTAGGTGAAAACTAAATAAAAAAAAGTATGTCGAAACCGGGTTTCATCAGACTTAAACTATGCCACTTTGAACCGGATACTCGTATTGAATCGTTGAAAAACTACGATCATACGAATGCTTCGATTGCAGTGAACATCAAAGAAGCACAGCTCGTACCTGGTAATTAGTCTTGAAAACTATACAAAAAGTTTTACTTTTTGGTTGTATTTACCATCTTTCCCCTCCTATTGATATCTTTTGTTCTGTGCCTCCTTCCTTCTTCTCTTAAAATTTCAATTATTACAGACATTTTCAGTGGTTTCGTAACGATTTAATACTCCTTTACAATACCAAGAGCAGGTAGGAGAGGATACAGACAAGAGCAGTGAAATAAGGGAACAATATAGGAGTGGGGGGTTAGAGACTTTGATTACAGCAGAATATTAGAAAGTGTACGCAGAAGCGTTTTTTCTATAATTTTTTAAGTGCAGTTTCTTTTTATACAAGGATTAATCGATTTGGTGGAAGAAAACCTAACTCTGACGATGTTGAAGGGAGTAGATCATAACTTTCATGGTTGGATTACAAATGATCATTAAGATGAAAAAGAAAAATATAGAGATTAGACACCCTTAGTACCAAAATCGATGGAGATACATACACCTATCTATTGATCATTATTTAAAAGCATATTATGTTTAGGATAGACGATAATAGTCGGGAGATGTTAAAAGTTAGGAGCATACCAAAGGAAGCTAAGTGAAATAAACGCAAGAAAAATGTAAAATTATATATATACAGTAAAACATATATATGTTTATACTTCAAGACACATAACTAACAATAGAGTAGGGAGCGGAAGGAAAATATTTCCTTTCCTAGTGGTTTATCTTTAGAGGAATTTTATGCTTAACCTGTAAACGATCACAAAAAGTTGTAGACTTTGTATTCTATTCTATTATAATGTTTTTCGCTTGTCAAAATTAATTTCTATCTAGGTTGAAATCGATAAAACAGCACAAAGGAGAGTGCACTGAATTTATTGACATCAGACGTTTTCTAGAACGACGCCCGTACAAGTTCAAAGTTAAAAAAGAAATAGAATATAAAAAAATTAAGAAGAGAAAGTGTTTAACAAGCGAGAATAGTAAAATAATAGCCACAAATGAAATTAGAAAATAAAAGAAAGGCTTATTTCATTTATGTTACTCCCTCTCCCATTTACTTATTTCTCTTTCTCTCTCTCTCTCTCTCTCTCATTCTATATTTCTCCTCTACTTTCACAAACTTTCTTTCTCAATCCTTCTCAGTCACTTCCTCTTTCTATCTCCATTCGAGCCCGAGGGCTCTTTTTTATAGATATTTTTATTTTCGTCATTCAACTGTAAAAATTCTTTTTTTACGATGAAAAAGACGATGATATATGAATAATATATGAAAAAAATTCTAACAGATAAAGGTTTGCAGTATGTGCAAAAAAAGAAGACCAGTCATCAGTCATGGAATTCAACATTAGACGCTCATTTGTACGAAGGGAGAAAAATACAATTCGTTGTACAAGATGGTTTGACTGGCTCTTCAACAACACCACTATCACAGGTGACAATTGGAGCTAGGGAATTGGCTGAAAAATGCCATGGAAAAGAGATAGCTACTGTTTATGTAAGTGCATCACTTTTTGTGTATCTAGGCTAAATTTTTAATATGTCCTATCAGTATTTTATATTTATAATCGACTTTTAGTGGTCCGTTTTCTTCTCAGGCAATTTATTTAGTTTAACCGTATTTATACATGTTCCATTACTTCTTTTTAAATATATATCCTACTCTTCTTCCTAAATAGACACTATTCACCTTAATTGGCATACGGTAGCAAATGTTTTTTACGATGCTTCACACTTTTTCCCATCTCAATATAGCTTTCTGTTCACTGTACTTTCCTTTATCCACGTTAAATAAGAAGAAAATTTCCCGATTTAAGCCTGGATATTCACCTAGAAAAAGAGAGAAAAAGGCGAAAAGATAATCGTTTGCTAGAGTTAATAAGACAATTTAGCTAAATTATCCTTTTTTATATCATCATAGACCATTTTCCGCTAAGTTTAAATATTCTATTTTTTTTATATAACTCTTTTTATGATACTGCTTTTGCATTTTATTTCTTCTATTCTAAACTGAAGTTTTATCTTCAGGATCATTTATTACCTTTCGTTATTTAATAATTAAATTTTTCAAACTAAATGGTTCTATTTATAAAATATCTTCTTTTAGCATCATTTTTTTTTTGAAGTTAACAAAATTATCATTTAAAAAAGTAAAACAGAGAAAAATGTCAGTGTTGATTAACGCTCTAACGTTTCATTATAGTCATCAAAATAAATTATCAGTCTTAGAACATTTATTACGTTTAATCACCTTTTCTGCACATCTCTTTCACACTTTTATAACGGTCTTTTCGATTAATGAAGTAAAAATTTATCATATTTTATAGGCCAAAGGCGAATAGAAAGAGTGAGAGAGACATAGAGAGAGAGAGAGAGAGAGAGCTATATAGTATATATGAGAGAGAGAGAGTGAGAGAGAGAAAAGCGAGACAGACAGATAGATAGACAGAATAAAAAAGGAAACACCATTTATCTATTGCTTCTAAAACATCCTCTTTTTTCAGTTGGCTATGGAACCTGGAGGTCGAATTCTAGTTCAAATTAGACACTTTACACAAGAAGAAGGTATCAACTTTTAATTATTTGTAGCTTAGAAGTAAATTATCTATAATAAGTGGTCTAATTTAGCATTAGTTGCTGGATTAAATTAAAAATTAGTGAAAATAAAAATAGTCAGGTTAAGTTACAGATATTCTTTATAGTCTATCATATAGCTACCTTAGATTGATAGTATATTTTTTCAGGTATATGAGTTGTCTGTTGGTACATTGACAGTGCTTTGTACCTAAATGGTACATAAAAGTAAACGTAGTGCATAAGAGAATTATATACGTTATATATATATATATATATATGCATGTATTTATATATTATTATACATGAATACATGCTGTATATGTATATTAGCAAAAATTTATATGTAAGATATATACTTATGTGTATTTTACATATAATACATAAAATACAATGACGCATATAATATGGGTTTTTATACTGGTTTATTACTGTGCATATTGATTACTTTAGTGCGACACCATTTACTGCAATTATCTGAAAAAAATATCAACGTTATCCTTTAACAATAATATATTGCGGTATATGGTATATTCTTTATAATTTTTACATAGCTTGCAAAAAACGTATCTATATACAGTATATACATGATGATTTATTTACTAGTCAGCATAGTACTATCTATAGCTCTATTATTTTATTTTGGGGGGGAGAAAAAATAGGCTTTAATCGGATGTTGGTTGCCGCCTACTTGGCCTAAACTTCAACTCTTGTAATAAATTTATTGTTTTTGCATGCTTTACTATGGCCTTCCGTTACGATAGTCAACAAGAGCTTAATATCTGGCAATTAGTTGTATTTATAAACTGAAGGATGAGTAAATTTACACCGTATATATTCACATCCTTCCTTCTCAGTTAAAGAAGGAAATTTTTATCCTGATTATATAAAAAAAGTAAGATTTAAAGTTATTTCTTTAATATGCAAATTCCCTTAGTTTAAAGATTGGTGATAAATTATTTATTTACTCTTCTTCTATTCTTAAGGTTTCCTTTGAGAAGAGACTATGATATTACAATAAGATATTGCAGAGGAAAAAAATGAAGGCACGTTAATTTGTGACGCTTCGACAAACAGCGTAGAAATTTTTAGCGACGCCTCGCTCACTATGCGTTCTCTCATTCTCTCTATTCAAATCTAGCTATCGATCGTATGCACAATTGCGCGTGTTACTTCTAGTTTTTTTCTTAATATACTAACAGAGGAAAAGACGTTTATAAGGCCTTGAAAAGAGTTTAATATATCATAATTTACGTTATTAAATATTGACATTATCTTACTATTTATGAAAGAAAACTCCTTTAATTGGATCAATATGCACAAATCAGAGAGTTCTATACTGTAAATCCTAGTCATCTATCTACTCAAGGGAATAATTTAGAACGAATTCACTGTCTTTACCTGTCTTTTTTTTAAGGCACTGCCGTTAAATACAATTCCCAACTAATTATGCTTTGTTTTTGTCTCCTTTGAACTTGAAATAGAGCTTGGCCAATCCGATTCGATGAGGGAAGTAGGAAATGATGAAAGTGGCTTCAAGAAGGGTAGAAGAGGTGCTGTCAAACAGGCTAAAATTCACGAAGTTCTTGGACACAAATTTATAGCAACCTTCTTCAGACAGCCAACATTTTGTACCTATTGTTCAGAATTTATATGGTAAACGTATTTTCTTATTTTTTTTCAATTAATTTTTAATTTTCCTTCGAATTTACTTGATTACTTCGAAACAATTGACTACCTTAAAAGCAATGGAAATTAACTATGTCTATTTAACTATAATATTGAACAGTATCTAGTTTATAAAAAAATATCAAGTCGATATCCAACAAAGTCTTGTGGAAATATTTAAAAATTTTCCTTATAATCTAATTTTTATTCATTTAACCCCCTAAATCCCAATTATTCAATCCAGGGGACTTAATAAACAAGGATACAAATGCGAATCATGTGGATGTTCCATTCACAAGAGATGCCATCAGAACGTTCTTGTAAAATGCCCCGGCAGTGCTCATGGTACACAGGAAACAAAGGTAGATAATTCCTAAATCTCTAATTAGATTATGCACATTTAATAAATAATAAAAATGGTATGAGCGTAACGTACTAATAGATTTATATAATATATAAAAAGTATATGGTATTACTTTGTTGTTATTTATTTCAGAAACAGACAGAACGCTTTAAAATTGATGTACCTCACCAATTTAAACCTCATACGTTTATGCATCCGACATTTTGCGATCATTGTGGATCGTTATTGTATGGCTTGTACAAGCAGGGAGTGAAATGTCAAATTAGTTGTATGTACTCTAACAGTTCTCATATTATGTAGTTGTCAATCAAACATATTTAAGTAATATATACAATATATACAGTATATATATATATATATATGCACCAAGCAAAATGTACATTATAGGAAAAATTCATCTGGTAAATGCATAGCTTAGTTACTAAACTTTTAGATATTTCTTTTCTCTTTCTTTGTCATTCATTCACTCTCTCTCACATATATATATATATATATATATATATATATATATACAGTATACACAGTATATGCATGTATATATATATATATACATTCATATTAATTACTAGAGTCATTTTTTTAAAAAAATGACTCTATATTATAGATATTTAGAAAAGTTATTTTTTCTTCTCATACAATAGAAATTGATAACTTTTATAATTACTTTTCCTAAATTAAAGCTAAATTTTTAATGTTCTATTTTAGAATTTGCATAGACAACAAAAATTTTTTTCTTTATTTTTTTCTCTCCTTCTATCTCTAAGTTTATTAAGTTTCTATACATTTTTTATATTCAATATCTTAATAATCATTTTTTTTATCTTTAAAGTATATAGGGTAAATCTTTATATTTACAGTATATACTTGAGTATCATATACGTCATTTATTCGCATGTATAAATAGATGATAATATACCTAATACTTTAATGATTCATAGTATTAATACCTTATAATAACGATTAAGGTATTCATAAAAATCTAAAATTAGAATTAAAAAATGATGAAATTGATACAATATTGTAACAAATGATTAATTTTTTTTAAGTGTAACAATTTTAATCTGATTAAAGAAAAGGAAAAGAGAAAGAATGAGGAGAAAAAGAAATTTATCATTTATATATGCAATAAATAAAATAGGTCTTTTTCATATATATTTTCTACGGCTATCCTTTCACATATATAACATATAAACTTTCAATATTAGGGAATTCGTTTAAATTAGCGCAACATATGACACTTTTATGGTCAATTTGACCAATACCAATTTGATAATAGTAAAAGGTCTGTGAAAACCTTGATATTTTCTGGTATATTACTAAAATCCTATTAAAAATATAGTCGAAAGGAAACTACTTATTTTTTATTATGTTTTAATAAGTGTTAATTCATTTTATGTACAGGTTATACATATTAGAATATCCTCCTTTATATACTTTATATAGGAAATAACATTGTTTATTAACTGATACATTAAAAAGCTACATTATTGTTATTTTTACAATAACAAAAAGGTATATTTAATTAAATTTCTGAAGAGGACAAGGTCTTTACTCTGCTTTGGATTCTACGATGCTGTTTCTATATTTACTTTTGCTTTAAAATATTTAATCTTTAATACTATAAACACTATGAACAAAAAAGGTCTATTATTAAATGGTATAGTAGTAGTATAAGATCAATAATTTCAGTCGTTTGTTGTTCATCAACTAAGCAAGAGTAAAAGTCATCTATATAGAGTCTATTTACAAATAGGCCTTTTTAGTAAAATGTATTGCATGTTTGTTTCTTCCAGCGTATTAATGGCGTCTTTAAGTAAAACCGATAAAACAGTCTCATAGACACGCTACAATGATCTATCTTTCATTTTGACAATTAGAAAGTCTATCTTTATAAAATGGTGACGCTCTTTTTGTGTTTCTTTATACTCAATCAATTACTATCACCTAAATTTCGATGAGAGAGCTTAATAAATAGAGTATTTAGATTATAAGGCCCACTAGTAAGAATATGTACTGTATATATTATTATATTAGATATATATATATAGTAGTATATATGCTGTATATATACATATATATCTTTAATTTAATTGAAGGTATATACTGTATATATAGCCTATGGACATAAAAATATTCATTATATGTAAATGCCTAACAAATACCTCTACCTTTTTTTCAGCCTGCAATGTCAACGTTCATCACAAGTGCAAAGATCTTGTAGCAAATTTGTGCGGTGTCAATCAAAAACTACTTCAGGAAGGGCTTAGTCAAATTAAACTAACCCAATCTAAACGTGCAGAAGTAATAAATCTTTTCTATCTATTAATCTTTATCAATATACAAAAAAAAATTCTTTTTAACATGCTTAATATTTAAAGAAACAGTACTACTAAAAAAACAATTTACTATTATTTGATATATTATGTAAATGGAAATATTTTTTGAGTAAAACGATAGAGCAGACAGATTGAAAGCTTCTTGTATTGAAGGTGTAAAAGCTATGCAAAATATATTACATTTGCTGATCAATTCGCTTCTTTAAACGATTGGATTTTGTTATAAAAAGAGTAAGAAAGAGATAGTAAACAATCAGTAATAACGTGGTGCTTGCTCATTGGAATGAAATATAATTAAATGAAGAAAATTATTAATTGCCAAAGAAAAATAGCTTTCTAATATGCATACTTATATCTAGTCATGAATATTTATAATACTTATATTATATTAATTTAATGATTAATTTTTAAGGCCCAAGCTTCTAAAACAACAACGATTGAAGCGGATGATTCGGAGAGTTATACGAAGCAATGGCAAGAGGAGAGGAAAAAACTAGAAGAGGAGGTCGGCTCGGCGTCGTCAGCTAGAAGATATCAGTTGAATGATTTCGAATTCAAGACAATGTTAGGAAAAGGAAGTTTTGGTAAGGTAATCTTGGCTCAGAAGAAGGGTACAAGCGAGTTCTACGCCCTCAAGGCATTAAGAAAGGACATTGTGATCGAGGACAATGATGTTGAAAGTACTATGACAGAACGTCGAGTTTTGGCAATTTCCTTCCGCTGTCCGTTTCTCACTCACCTATACTGCACATTTCAGTCGGATGTGAGTTCCATTTTTAAATTATTTGCATTTATATTTCAATGTTTGATAAGCAAATGTATTATTAATGTATACATATACCATATCGTATCATCCCTCTATCAAGGCATCTATGTAATTATAATTTTGCTAATTAACTTTAACTTACAACTCACAGGCTCATCTATTCTTTGTTATGGAATACGTTAACGGGGGAGATTTGATGCATCATATACAGAAAAGCCGCAAATTCGATATCAACCGATCGAGATTTTACGCTGCAGAGATTATTTGCGGTTTGCAATTCCTGCACAATCAGTTCATTATTTATAGAGATTTAAAACTGGACAACGTTCTAATTGATAAACGAGGTCATATTAAAATCGCCGATTTTGGTATGTGCAAGCTAAATATGGATGAAAACGGCAGAGCCACGACATTTTGCGGAACACCAGATTATATAGCCCCTGAGGTTCGTAAGCCTATATTATTAGTAATGATGTTGAACTGGAATAGCATCTCGTTGTTATTAGAGGTAGAGGTGTCGCTGTCCGTACATTATCACTAATCAGTTGCGATTGACACTACATGCTTTTTTTTATACTAAGAATACAAATAGATTAAAGTATAGACAGACCTAAACAACAACGAAGAAACTTAAGAGTTAAAGCTTTTATATCAAACTACTGCCTAACATCCAAAATGCCAGGAATCATTAAGCAACAGGTCTCAATAAACACGCAAGATTTCCTTTATTTTCCCTTCCTCTTTACCCTTCTCCTAATCCGTTTTCTATCTTATTTCTCGCCCAATGAAGATAAATAGGACTATTTTTTTAATCATTGCTAAAGTTTATCATTATTTATTGATTACTTTATTATTTTTCCTACCTAAATAATTAGTTAAGATAATATTATCGAAGATTTATATTACTATTATAAAATTTCTACTGAAATGACAAAAGGTTGTCACTGCTGTCATTTTTTTTCCTTAGGAAATGAACCAACTAAACCAGCGTTTAGGTTTTATAGTATGTAAGGTCGGCAACTAAAAAATATGGACAAATTCTATTAATAGACCTTGTATGTTAATTAAAGAGAAGGATACAGAATAGTGATAAATTTTTTCTTAATCAATTTTGACGTTTAAATTGAATATTTATTATCTATATTTTACAGATTTGTTGCGGAAAACCTTACAATCGGTCTGTGGATTTTTGGTCCTTAGGTGTTCTATTATATGAAATGCTACTGGGGCATTCCCCTTTCTCGGCAGAAGATGAAGATGCATTATATAAAACTATAAGGATTCAAGAGCCAAAATATCCATCGTCCTTGAAACCAGATGCAAAAGATTGCTTAAAATTAGTACGTATTTTATAACTTATATCCATGATTAACACTATAAATTTTATAATATTTCAGCTTCTTAAAAAAGATCCAATAATACGTTTGGGTATGCCAGACTGTGAATATCCAGATATTCGGACTCATCCATTCTTTGAAGTGATAGATTTTGTTAAATTAGAGAATTTAGAAATTCCACCGCCTTTTATACCAAAAGTATAATAGATAATTAATAATACGAAGGAAAATTATGCTAATTATAACTTTTATTCTAATAAAATTTTAGGTTCGAGCAGAAAATGATACAAATAACTTCGATCAAGAATTTACAAAAGAAAGGGCCCAATTATCTATACCGGATAGAGAACTATTAAAGACGATAAAAGATGATGTTTTCTTTGGATTTTCATTTACAAATCCTAAATATTAGGCAAGGATGGAGTTTTAGAGAAAATGGGGCGCCGTTATATTGCCAAAATACTTCATTAGGACACTCTCAAATTACCAAATTCTTTTCTCTTTTTATTGACTATAGTTATCTTTGTCCATCTTTACTTTACTTTTCCAAACTATATATTTTTATCTCTGGTCTTTGTCTAGTAAGTGTAAGTTTGTTTTTGTCTATAATTTCAAACGAAAATTATGAAAATGAAGAAAAAAATATGTACGTTTACGTTACGTAACAGTATTTTATATATATATGTATTCATATATATTGCCTAAAGGGCTGAAATCTGCATGGTTTTACAAAAATATATTGTTTTTCGTCATTTTTAAAACGTCTGATGTTAAGCATATATAATATAACGTATATTATAAACTAATAATATTGAAGGTATCTTTTTGCAACATACTGAATGTCTCGTTTTTTCTCATCTCAAAGAAATTTAACAATTATCTTACTTATATGACTTGCAAAGTTAACGTATTTAATTATTTAGTAAATATTAATAAATTACCAAATATATAAATTTATACAGTATATACATGTATATATATATATATATATATATAAATTTATATGTACTGTATATATGCTCTTATAATTGTATACAATATCTTCTTTATAGATGACTTATAGAGGTAATTTTTCTATCTGTTATTAATGTTTCATAGCTCTTTAACTTATTTTTCCTTATTATTTCCATATTTTATTTGAACGAATTCGATCAAACGTATTAAGCGTATACTTAAATGAAAAACAGGAAGGGTACTCAACCATATACTAGTAGAACACTCAGTCAAGCTTTAAGCTTGAGAAAACAAGGTAATATGTCACTAATGACAGCCATAACGCATACGTTACAGATTTCATACTGGTAAAGGATTTATACAGGTTGTCAAATCGGAATAATCAGCCTAAGCATTTTCTAAAAGTAGAGGAATAAACCATAGAAAAGAGTCTAATAAATTGCATAATATATACAGTATAGTATATACAGTCATTTTCTTCTTCAAAATAGAACGTTTACATAAGCAAAAAATGTAATATTTTTATCACTGGATCTAAATAAGCTATGTAATCTGGTGTTAGATATCAAAGAAAGCGAAATTAAAGTCGTAGAGGTTGTCTTTCTAATATTTATGTGTTGAAATAACATTTGTTAATGTATTTTTACCGAAAAGTTTTTATAGTTTCTCACAGTAAATTTAATTGGTTTTTACATTCTTAAAAAAACAAAATTCTTTAAGAGTATTCCTCTCTGATTAGAATACAGTTTAATCTCCAAAACAAAAAAAAAACAGAGTAAAAAAAACCTCAACAAACGAGTAAATTCGATAGGCTTGTAAACAAATACATATTGCCTATCACTTGGAGTAGTAGCTGGTTGATTGGAAAATGCTATCACGCTATTTATTTAGTTTGGAAGTGTTCAGTGTTGATAGTTATATAATATATATATATATATATATATATACTTTACATTATATAAATTTATTTCTTCAACATAATCTCATTTAAATATTTTCTTACATGATCAAAAAGATAGAGGAATAAAAAAGAACGTCATTTATTTCCTTTCTTCTTTTTTTTGTCTTTTCCTATTAATTAGACTTTTCTGAATATTGTATTCTTTTTATTTTTCTGATATCTTTAAAGAAGAGTATTTTAGAGGGATAAAGAAGAATAGAAATTTCAACAAAGCATTCGAAGGAAATAATCTAATTATTTACATTTAAAAATACATAATATATATTTAATTATGTAGAAATGTCTTTTTTAAAATATATATACTGTATATATGGAGTATATAATGAATTTTTTTCGGTTTTTCATGGATCAAAATCAACTTTTCTTTCTTTTCTTTGAAGTTTACTGCTCTTTAAACATATAAGAATTAATATATATATAGCATCTAGAGATTTATATACGTTTTACTTTTTCGATTTTCTCTACTAAAGATAGTCTATTTAGCATTATTTTTATTTTTGTTATTAAAGTAGCTGTTTTAGTTTTTTTCTGTAATTGATACAATAATTAATTATTTGTTTCAAGTAAGAATTGAAAATCTGGCAAAAACTAGAACATGATACTTGGATGTCATGTAAAATATATGTATGCTGTGTATACTACATACTATTTATAAAGTTATACATATAAATGTATATATATATACTGTACATTTTGAAAAACAAGCTTTTTATGTAAAATTTATAATTTTTAATGACATATCTTTCTTCTTTATCAATAACATGTTTAGTTTGTAATGTACGTTTAAATATACATGTATCATATACTTTATGTACAGTACAAGCATGTAAATATAAACCTATATACGAATAATTATACAACATATTCTAATTATAGCATTGTTGTCTTGAATATAAAAAAATGGAATATAACGAAGTGCGAATCCTTTTTATAGAGAAAAATTACAAGGTGACATTTAAATACATGGACATTATATATTCTTTTGTATCTTTTGTTTATCAAAGCTACCTTTACATTGTAAGGATATAAGGCAGTGAATCTTATTACCTAGGCAACCGAGTACTTATATATGAAGTTCTATTGATGTATAAATTTCTCTAGTAAGTCTAATTCTTCTGCTTATATCATTACTATATAGTACTGAAGGTCTGATGTATTTACATGTATTTTTACGAATGATTTAACTGCAGTGTGTTTTAATACATCATTAACGTATATCACAATATAGCTATTCAATTATAACATATCACTCCTGTACTCCTTAGAAAAAGTGTATATTTTTACAATAAAGTATATTCTTCTTGTAATATACTAATATGTATATATATGTATGAGTATGGTGAACTCTTTAGCATTTTCTAAATAAAGTTCTTACTAAAAGTCATTTTATATTTCATTATTACTTGATTTAAATTAAAAATATTTTCTACTATTTATCATTCCAAGTTATCTAGCCAAATCTACAACCATATAGCAAATATTTTCATATTGTTTCATTCTCATCCTTTTATTTACCGAGTTTCTTATGTCTTTTTAATTTGCTTCACTTTTTATTAATTTTCTATTTCATTGTACTTGAATATTTGTGGGTGGTTATATAGTATACATACACCCAAAAAGATTTTTCTTTCGTGGTAAGGTATCTGAGTCAAAGTAAAAGCATTCAATCATATTTTCAGTTCTAGGAATTCCTTTAAAGGCTTTGTTAAAGACACTCTAATTCAGGCGGGAAACCAGGTGGTGGTCTGATCGTGGTATTATCTCTCGTAACCCTGCTTACTCTTCCTCTGACATATACATCAATGAACCATCTATACATTTTCTCTATGTCTTCTTATATTCATTCACAGTTCTGAATATTTTATGATAGAAGAAATGTCAAATCAAACTTATAGTGAATTTTCAATTTAAACCAAATCTTCTGATATTCCAATGGGGAAGAAATATATCTTCCCTCTGTCAGGGCATTAAATAGTGGTTTTCTTTCAATTCGATGTAAAATTAAATTTAACTCTCCATATCCTCTTTATTCATGTGTACATTTCCTCCTAAGTCATTAAAATATGCAGTTTATTTTTAATTTTTAAAATATTTAGAAAGACTACACTATGAATGCAATTTGTTTGAAAAATTATATATAGAAAACGCTTCCTATACATGTTAGATATGCAGTATAAGTATACAAAATTTGTATTTGATCTATAAATGCTGTCTATGTAAAACAATTAAACCTAATATTATCCAGGTATTTTTTCTTTTAAGTATTAGATTTAAAATGAAAGAAACGTCTATTGATAGATTTTCAGCGCTTCACTTTTCTATAGGTATGAATCATTAAAACTCTTTTTTTTCTTCAACTTTAATAATATTAAATAACCCTCACTTGTATATAAATATATATAGATATATATAATGTACAATGTATACAATGTATAGTTTCAACTACTCTACAAGGATAGCTTTATATTTACACCTTTTTGAAAATTAAAAAAGTAAAAAGGAATACCTTTAATTACTTGTATCAATCAATGATATTAGGATAATTAAGCGAGAGTTTTTAAAGAAATAGAAAAGAACTTTATAATTATAAAGCTTGATTACATAACAACCTCTGTTAACATATATTTTTCAGCTGTATAATGTATATTTTACAATTTATATATACTAAAATATATACATATACTAATATAGATCTATCGTTTCATAATGAATATATATTCGATTTCACCCAATTACTTCTGTGCCTCGGAGATTATCATGATTGTGGCATAATACTGTAAACACAAATTATCATACGTTAAATTTCTTATCAAATCATTATTATAATTTCATTTCTGCGTAAGGGATGAGAAAATTTCGAGATTAATTCGACAAAAGCAATAATACAGTATTTCATTTATGATAAATTCTCAAAAACTCGAAACTTTATTTATAGTTTCCATACTTTCTTTCGTTCTCTCTTATCTCCCAAGAGTCATCACTTTAAGTTGCAATACTAGTCAATAAATAACTCATAAATATCTTTACTTCTGATAGGCTTATTTTTCTTTTTTTATTATAAAATATTAACACAAAAATCATCTATGAGACAAAAACTAATCCCAATTCTTTTACAAGAAAGATATATTCTATATCTGTGAATATTTCTGTGCAACTGTTCTTTCACCTATAAGCAATAATAATCACTTTTTCTATTCCTTTAAAATCTAGTATAGATGTAAATCGAATGAGCAATAGATATCTCTACTTGATAGTTTTCGCTAATCTTATTAGAAATTGATTGTTAGCACTAATTATATATAAGACATAAGAGGGTCTAAAAAGATTATAAGCATAATATATTAAAAATACAATCTGACGTTGTTTATAAATTTTTACAAGCTGTAATACAAATATTGTAGCTGAAGTAGGTTTAACATACTTTTTAGTTTATTTATTTTTATAGCATAACATTTGAATATATAGATGTATATAGAAAACGTGTATACGAAGGAAACTTAATGAATTCATATACACCCCTTAGTCTAACAGAGAAAGAGAAAGAGAAAGAAAGGAAAAAAGACAAAATACTAGGAAGCTTTCATAAATGTCAGTTATCTTTTATGTAATCTATCATCTGAGTAATTATATATTTAGTTCGAAAAAATATAAAAGAAAAGTAAAAGTATATATTTGTGCTATATTTATATATATTAGTATATATACTGTATATATATACTGTATATTAAAATAATAAGCAGGTCACACCTTCTTTTGTCAGTAATATTCAAGTATTGTATATCATAATACTAAATGTTCCTGTGTAAAAGTTTCGAAAATGGTTTATAGCCCATATGCTAACACAAATAGAAAATTTTAATATCTTAGAAAGAGAAGCCTACTGTTTAAGTATGTATATTGTATATACAGTATAAATATATATATATATATACTGCATATATGCATATATA